TGCACCCCATTTCGGTCCTCTAGAGCAAGGTGTCGCTTGTTTAACAGCACCTCAAGCTCAGGTATTCCTCACCTGGAACGCCATATAGCGCCTCGATCGGCTCGGTATGTACATATGCTTTTAATATAAAATAATAGTCAAACGAGGCACGCGTACCGAATAGAATCAAATCGGGGGAAATAGTTGTCTTGTTGTTAAAGATTGCCGCCACCTATTTACACCCTCTCTGATTCCTCCCCTTTGTTCCTTCCCTTTCTAATAATGTGTGAAAAAGCGGGAAGAACATATGATATCCAACGATCAGGCTGACTCCAGCTTGGTAGTGAGGCCAGAATGAACTGTGAATGCTCACCAGGCAGAGGCTGCACTCAAAAGCTGTCTCTATCCTGACGTCCGCACTAGCTTCGGAAGTTAGTGTTAGATATTTTCCCACTTCCTCGTCTTCGGTACTACCGGCACTTCGGTCATTTCACAGTAAAGGATATATGTGCCCTAGGCCTCAAAGTATCAACATCTTATTCTGGGTGTGTTCAACCCTTCGATTAACCCTGTTAGAATGGGACAAGAGGAAGAATCCTTTGGTACTGGCGCACTCTTGCGTACTCTGCGATGTTTGAGCTGATCTCCCCCTCAACGCTATTTGCAAAGTTATTCTCCTCTTCGTTGGGGAGTTCGAGCGTTCGGCGAGGTATTATTCCAGTCTTCATAGCCTTTCAAGGCATTATAGAAGGTCAGCAGCCGTGATAACGTATGAAGCTCCTGCGCGCAAGTAGACATAATGATGCATGCTTTTATCTTGTGGTCAATTGAGCAGTGATGCGCATAGACTGAAGCGAAGGATAGATGTGGTAAAGATATGAGAGATAGTGAGCTGAAAATGGCAAAAAGCTTTATATAAGGGTATGATGAATCTGATAAACATTGAATATATGCCGAACGGCAGATATTTGATCACTGAAAAGACAGAATCAGTTAATTTTATGGAGCACATGCGGAGAAGTAACGTCATTAGTAGGGGAATAAATTAACTAGCGGGAAGATCTAAATCTCCACATTGAATAAACCTGACCAGGGAATATACGTCCCCAACCTCACCCCCAAAGCTGGTGGCAGGTGCAAAAGAGTCTCACTCCTGTTCTACTTCTCCACTACATCTCGTACTGCCTTCATAGTATCCAATCAAGTTGTGGAGAGCAAATGAGTGATCAAGAAATTGTATACTTCGTATAATCATCTCCAGGGACATAGGGGCAGAATTGCTTATGATTACAACTACTAGGGTAATATGTGCCATGCAGCTTAGACGTATATGAAGCTGAGCCGATCTCAATATATTCTTGTTTCTTTCACAAATAGCGGTCGATTACTTAAAATCCCGAAGGGGCTATGATGGTTATGCTATCTCACAAGGCTGTGCCATCCCATTCCCCTCTGGTATTACATATAACTTTCGTTGTAACAAATCCACCAGGTGAGAAGGTGTTGCATTACGCACTCAAGGAAATACTACACCGTACATGTGCCGCTAGTGAAGGAATGGGAATTTGAGCGATATCTTAGAGTGAAGTTTGTCTTCATTTGATTTCAAAGATACGTTCGTCAACAAGCACTTTCTTGTACAACTATTTCTTCACCATCTCACATGCGCAGTTCGTATCACTTACGACTATTGATAGCTGCAACATGGTCAGTCACGAGACACTTGAACTCATCGGTTCCGTAGTAGAAGGTGTTGCCATCGTCTGGCGATGGTCCACCGCTCAATTGATCTCCGTATTGCCAGTAGAGGTCAGCAGAAATGGCAGTCGTGTTCAGTGCCGTGTTTTGCCAGGGTTTCTCAACGGCACAATGATCCGAGGTCACTCCGTACTCCTCGAACATGCAAGGCTTTCCAGCCGCCTTGCAGGCTGCCCCGTGCGAGGTGACCCAGCCGTTGCCCCAGTCATTTGTGGTTCCCCCTAATAACATTAGCTTCCACCGTTGGGCTTGCTCTCAATATAAACTTACAGCTGCTGGGATAGAGATGGAAGGTTCCGAAGTCGATCGTGGGAATGGCCAGGTTCTTGGCGAAGTCACTTCCCTCAGAGTATTGGTACGGGTAGCTTCCGTCCGAGCCAGTCTCGAGGCCGAAGCCCTCTGCTTTTGTTAGTTTGTGATACTGGACAAGACCAAACTCACTTACCATCACCAATGCAAACCAAATGCTTCGAGTCCAACGACTTAATATACTGGCTGGTACTCTCGATCCAGTTATACAATACGGTGGTTTCACAGCCCTGGCAACGGGGCTCATTGGCCAATTCCCATGCAAAGATAGCCGAAGAGTCACTGTACCGCGAAATGACGGCCTTGATGTAAGCGCGATAGGCTTCCTGCATGGCGTCGTTGGTGTAGAATTCCTCCTTTGATCCACCGAACGCCTTGACGTACGCATTGATACCACCATAATCATCCCAGAAGTTGACGAAGTTAATGATCAACTTAATACCATGCTTCTCTGCCGAGGAGACCACGTAGTCTAACCGTTGAAGGCCGTCTTCCCCCTCATTGACGGTTGCCGTACCATCCGCCAGAAGATGGTAGTAAACAGAGCCATCAGTGGGCTTCTCGTTGACATCATTGAACCCCCAGACACGAAGGATCTTGAGACCGGATTCCTGCAAGTGACTGAACACGAGATCCACATCATCATTGTTTTTCTGGAATCCAATCCAGTATGAGTTGGAACCGGCAAAGTATCCTGTCTTGCCATCAATCACGAAATTGAGACCTGAAGTGGTAACGAAGGAGCCGGGTGTAGCAGATGGACTCGGACTGGGCGAGACGGTTGAAGATGACGCTTGGGGAAGGGCAAAGGCCAATTGGGCCGACACCAGGCCGGCCGCAGTAAGAAGTGAAGGGCTAAGCTTCATGATTCTTGCTTCGAGTGACAATGCGTTGCTGCTGGCTCTGCACTTCCTGTTTCTGAACGGCAGCCAGCTCCTTGAGGTCCAGGTGTTCTTATAATCTGGAGAAATGCGCGCCCGGTCGACATCCTGGGCCCACATATGTATCGGACGATGCTCCGCTCTTGATCCAGACTACCTAAAACAGCTCCATGTCTCTTTTTGGAACGGACCCAGTTAAGCGCTTGCAAGCAAGATGGTCAAGTCAGATTGCAGGAAATGTTGAAACAGGCGTCATGACAATTTTTCCGACTGGACCCCGTGCAGAAATGTGGGGAAATTAATTAATTAACTCAGCACTGGAGGTGTTTCGGTCCGTGGAGGATGGGGTATAGTGGAGAACGCGAGTCGGGAGTTGAAACCTCGATTCCCTAAGTAGCCGTTGCACGTATAGTCGATTCGCGACGATCTCTATTATCCTGCATGGCACTATGAACTAATCCACTGCGGAGTGTATCTCCGAGTAGCATGATCACAGACCACAGAAATATGTGAGTGATGCGGGAATTATAACCTACTTTTATGCTCCGGGAGTCCGGGGAAAATCAGGTAATTTGGGTTGTTGTACCTGACGATCACATCATTTATGCGGAAAGGCATGTTTCTGTATGCTCCTTTCAGTAGGATTCTCCCTCAATGTCAGTCACACTTCCCTGGGTCGACCGGTCCGATTTTCTCCGCATACCATATTGTGTATCTGCTACGGAAATCTCTTCAATTTCTCTGGATATGGGCTTTGATACGCTAAACGCTTTTAATCCCACACGAAGAACCACGTGTGCAACGAAGTGGAACATGCTGTAGAGGCTAACACCAGGTGTTATGACTCGGTCGCATCTTCCTCCAGAGATCACCATTTAGTTATCGACATGGTCCAACGTCTGAAGTGAGACTATGGACCAAATGTCCTTGCTATGATGAGCAAGCTCACTCAATACAGCATTGGCTGGGTGGGCAACAGCGTAAAGTTACGCGTTTGGTGTCCGACACCTGGTGGCCTGGTAAGGATGTTGATTTAAGAAATCGTAAAGACGGTTTTAGAGGATACAGAATGTATAATTATGTGAGATATCGATGTCCACCCACAATAAAGAGGTATTCTCGTGACAACTTCAGGAGACAGCCCTGCAACGCAGCATCATTAGCTATCCCTGGAAACCTAGCGAAACCTCATTTGCGGTTTAGTAGTACACTATGTAATAGAGTAGTAACTCCTAGTAGTCCGTTGACGGTTTCTGTTCCTTCTTTGTATATTAAAAACAGAGACCTTGCCGTCAGAACTTGGTCGTATGGACAGGACGCGGCAAGGTTTGAGTGGTGATTTCTGCGGGATAAGGGCGATACTCGTAAAGTAATTCTAAGCCAAGCTGTAGAGGGATAGAGATACTTCGCTCTATAGTGTTGCAATGGACAATCTCAGTCGGCTACCCAGCCTGGTACACTTAGACGCATATTGTCACTCTTGATACACCGGTATATGTTAGCGATATGGCCTGACGATGGGTAATGGAAACTTACGGCAGGGTAGTGACTGATGCCGAACAAACAACCCTGGCAGTGTATTCTGAGATGAGCCTGTTGAGGGCTACGTGATGTCCTGTGGCTTTCTCTGAGACTTTCTCAAGATATTACAGTCCACTGTGAATACATATTTAACTAGCAGTAGTATTTCGACTGCTGGGTGGGTCTCTCCGAGTGTGTTTCTGGGTGGAGAATGCGAGAACACAAAGTGGGGAAATGTGTATGGAGTAATCCAGCGCGTGCGGGGCTCAGAATAGGGCAATGTTGACACTTGACAGCCATAGCACTGTGGACTAGCTGAAAGGGCCCCAAGACTTGTAGGCAACTGGGCAGTCTACCCAGACCACCTCTTTTTATATGAACAGGTTCTTGGCAGTGCTTCTGCCTTATGCCAAGGCCCCGTTTATCAGGCAGCAACGATGACATGTGACAGATAACGAATTATCTCATCGCGGCACGGTTTCCAGCCTTAGGATTGACAACCTTTCATTCCACACTCTTATCCAGAGCCCAGATCAGCACTATAGTCATATGATGGGCAAGCTACAGCAGAATTGCGATCTCAATGATCTTCCTCCTCCGTACGAACAGGTCGTCTCAGGGCAACCCTCTTTAGGCAATGTCGACAACGACTCTCTTCCTCCTCTGGCTGGGCCGTCCGCAGCGGCTCTCCCGGTCGCCGAGAATCAAGTACAAGATAATGACAGAGCTGACATAACCGAGCGACCGTCCACGACCATGTCGCCCTTTTTGAGCAAAGATCCCGCCGCACTTCACAGTCTTATCAGTCATGAGGCTCGCATTCCCCCACGACCGTGTCTAAGTGTCCGTGGTGCACACCAAGAGACCCATCCCGACCGAAATGATCGCAAGGAAAATCGCACGGAGTCAGTGGTCGACTTTGACTTCAGGATCAATATGACGAACTATTTGGTGGGAGACCCCGATTGCGATGCGGGCTGGTTTCAGTTGCGCGTAGCGCGGGACGGGGATGGGCAGAAGATATATCGGGGTGGACGATGTCGGTCGCGTACCTGGAAGCGCCACGCAAGAGGGAGAGGTATCAGGCTACCAAGCGTAGAAGACGGCACTGATGCTGAGAATGTCGGGTTGGTCGAGGATGATGCAGGGCCGGATCTCATGGGCTGGTGTGAGCGGTTCTGCCAGGACCCATCGCCTGTCAAATCGTATGTTTGTTGTGTTGACTTCGTTTGCTTAACACATATGATACTAATCTGCTGGTGCAGCTTCACGTTCACCCGGCACATGGAGAACTTCAACTCATCCATCATCCATTCTACTTTAACTTCTCATCTACGGTCCCTCAACTACCAAGGCAACATCGACATCTCCACATCCTTCCCCAACCGGTCGTTTACGGTCTACTCGCCGCATTGGATTAACCGTGCCCGGAACAATAACTTTGTGTACTATACCTGTCTTATTCTTCAACTGTGGCTGATCACCTGGCCGATTATCTGGCTCCTGGAACGCCGGTATGCGGTTGTTGGGTCCGTGTGGCTGTTCTCCCAGGAGGTAGGATCCCAGCACATCTACGCACGGAACCGAGACGAAGCCGGTATCACGGAGGATTTGGCCCCGGTGGTTACCCAGGCCGCATGGGAACGAAGGGTGGACGGCAAGGTCCTTTCTCAGCAGGACATGCGACTTCTCCGGCGGCTTGAGCGTGAGGGTCAAGAGCGTGGCGGAAGAATTTTGGTAGTGAACTGGGATCGGATCAGCGGATGGGGGCGTGACCAGTATACTTGAATCGGACTATCAGCTCGGCCCTATGGACCCTTGGCGAAAGTGGTACAATGGTTATCCTTGGGTTATACTTGGCTTGCGACGCTCGCGTAAACGTGCTTTGATCTCTTTTGAAGATAGCATTTATGAACATTGGATGGACTTATCGTCATCCGGCTCTGTGCGGTATATAACTGGGGGATAAATGAGATTCGCTGACGAAGGGATCTTGTCGCATGCTCCATGATCTCGCACTTCTCATGGGTATGTCCGGTCACCGGCATTGTTGTGCATACCGGCCCGCTATCGAAACCGTTGTCAGTACGCCCTTATTGGACATCACTGGGCGCGATTGCAGAAATCGCGACTAATGCAGAGTGAACCATAAGCGAGATGTCCGTGGGTCTCTCCCGATATGCTTCAGTTTGACGTGCACACGCCCTGACGATTCCATGATAACCACACCCCCAGCATCCGGACCGGTGTCCGGACCGGTGAATTAAGATTTAACTATCCGGGGCAATAAATTAGTCCGCAGAGTGGCGTAGATGAGGGATTCTCATGCAGGTGGTAAGGCTAAAGAAGGTGGTCGTGGTCGGCTCGAGTGATTTGGTTGATATCTCCGGTTTTCACATGGGATCTCTTATCGGGGTTCTCCCTTGGTAGATATGACATGATACTTTCAGCGGACCTGAATGAGTTGAATGCAAATTGATTGTAATGGAATTGACATTATCGCACTGTGTCTCCGGACCCCATTCAACATGAGCCCTTAGAGGAAGCCACGGGGCACTTGGCCATGGACAAGAGCGAGACGAAGGAAGTCAACCACTGATAAGCGTGAACCCTAAAACAAGCCACCTGAGCCTCCCCCTCCAATCACCGGAGGGTCAACACGACAAGTATGCAAATTTCCCCGCATGTTGATTCCTTCTTATCAGCATCCGGTCGCAATTTCCAGTTCATGTCCGCCCAGGTTCTTGGCCGACCCAACCAGTGAGCGCGCGTACCAGCCGAGTTCTTCCCGTGAATGAAGCCAGACTAAGACAAATACGGTGCGAGGTCACTGTATGAAGCTGCCGATAAGGCAACAAATGTTACGCCCGAGACCAGTGGCTTGTTCGTTGCGCTTCTTGGCCCGCATCGTCTTGCGACTTTATAACCGAGGGTGTCCCGCGCGTGGCCTCATCTCTCACTGCTGACCATTTCTCAAAACCAACACATTACTCTGGTTGCTGAATCCTTCCCCCTACTCTGGACTACGGCAACATGGGTTCCGGAGAAAAGCCCACTGTCGCTCCGGCGGCGTCCCATTCCCATGACCCTGAGTCCGGCGATGTCAAGTCGGGCACCATGCAGGCCATGGTGGAGGCCGACCTGCTCGATGAGCGATACATGAATACCCAACGTGGTCTCAAAAATCGACATGTACAGCTGATGGCATTGGGAGGTACAATTGGAACCGGTCTGTTCGTGGGTTCGGGTCAAGCGCTAGTCATTGGTGGGCCATTGTCTCTGCTCCTGGGCTACACCTTCATCTCCGCACTCATTTATGCGATCGTCACTGGAATCGCCGAAGTCGGTGCCTACATGCCAGTCCACGGTGGCACCATGAGCTATCATGGTTTTCGCTATGTCTCACGGAGCTTGGGCTTCGCCATGGGATACCTGTACTGGTACTCGTTAGCGATTCTGGCAGCCTATGAAATCGTCGCCGCGTCCATGGTCATCGAGTACTGGCCTACTAGCGTCCATATCGCCGTCTGGATTACCATCATGCTAGTGGTCATTGTGGCACTCAACTTTCTTCCGGTCGGTGCCTACGGAGAGAGCGAATTCTGGTTTGCCGGGATCAAAATCATCACCCTCATCGGCCTTCTCCTCCTCTCCTTCATCCTCTTCTGGGGCGGCGGTCCGAACCGTCAGCGTCTCGGCTTTCATTACTGGAAAGACCCCGGTGTCATGAACACATACTTGGTCAGTGGGGATCGTGGTCGCTTTGTCGGTCTCTTACAATGCATCGTCAAGAGTGCTATCGCGTTCCTCTTTGCCCCCGAACTCGTGGTGATCAGTGGCGGTGAGATGGAATCCCCGCGCCGGAACATCCCTAAGGTTGCACGTCGCTATATCTACCGGCTCGTCATCTTCTACTTCCTAGGTTCGCTTGCGATTGGCGTCATCTGCCCGTCCAACGCCGCGGAGTTGGTAAACGGCGATGGCCACGATGCCTCCTCCTCCCCCTTCGTCGTCGCGATTGCCAACGCCGGAATTCCCGCACTGAATCACATCGTCAATGCGGCCATCCTCACGTCTGCCTGGTCGGCCGGAAACTCCTTCCTCTACATGTCGTCCCGCTCACTCTACAGTCTGGCGGTATCGGGCAATGCCCCCAGCATCTTCAAAGCCTGCAACCGGTGGGGTGTCCCTTACTACGCGGTCGGCGTCTCTTCCCTCTTCCTCTTTCTCGCATACCTCTCTGTAGGGAGCGGCAGCAACACCGTCTTTAACTGGCTGATCAACTTCACCAACACCTCCGGGTTTATCAGTTGGACCTGCTGCGGCATCATCTACATCCGGTGGAACAAGGCCATCAACGTGCAAGGCATCGAGAAGCCCTACCGCTCCGTCATGCAGCCCTATGGCATGTATATCGGCATGGGTGGCGCCATTTTCTTGGCTCTCATCAACGGCTTCACTTGCTTCTTCCCATCGGAATGGTCCGCATCCAACTTCTTCACCGCCTACATCGGCATTCCCGCCTTCCTCGTCTTATACGCCGGTCACCGGATTTTGTTCTGGCAGGATCCATGGGCGTGGCGACCAGAAGAGGTGGACTTGCAAACAGGATTACAGGAGATTTTGGCGGCAGAGAAACCACCCCGACCGAGGGATACATGGGGCAGGAAGCTGATGGCGCTGATCGAATGATTTTATCGCGGCTCATTCTCCTAATTTCGGGATTCTCGTTAGGAATTGCCTGCCTATATGCAAGCGTAGTTTAATATCTCCATAGCTATGTTTCCGCTCTCAATGATACCAACTCAATGCATTATTGTTTTACTATCGTCACCTGCGACAGATAAGGCGCTTATTACGTATGCGATTCGTTATGATATGCGTGACCCACCTGCCCCATCATCTTATCTTGATAAAGTTGTCCCTTTCTCGGCATGTTTTTGGTACCTACGTGGGGCGTTTATTTTAGTTTGTGGACTTTTGTTCTTCCAGCGGAGATTGATTCCTCAGGTACCGTCGGAGGGGTCTTTTGACTGTAGATGAGCCAGCACTACTAATAGGTGATTATTGCGTAATATCAACCAAGATTAATGCTGGAATTCATATGCACCGAGAGCCGTGCAGCCCCTACCTTAGCAGCTTACACTACGCAGTAAATACTACCCAGAGAAGAGACGCTCACAGCAAATATATATTGGCGGCTACAGAGCGGTAACTTGGAGTAAGCCCCGCAAGCTTTTGGAAAACGTTGGGAGAAAACTGTCCCAATTTAACATCACTGTTATCGCGCTGAGAAAACGCTTTTACTTAACTTGTCTTCAATAGAAAAAATAACCAGTCGTTTAAAAGAGAGGTGACTGACGACAATAAACAACCCTTTGCAAACAGATGCAAAATGTGCAAATGATACAAATAAATGTAGGACCTCGGAACCTTCCCGAAAGAGAGTCCGACATCCAAGCAAGAGGAAAATACATAATCCGACGCCATAACAGTATACCTGATGTTGAGCCACTAGTACATATTTAGACGGTCGCAGTCCAGAGCATACAATACACAATAGTTGTCAGACAACAATTATCATGGATGTGAATATTGCATTTCAGCCAAAAACTCTCCTTCGACATGAATTCCCAGCTCTAGCATCGCATTTTCACAGCCTCATTCAGGATCAGTCGTCGGTTGAGCAGGTCCATGAACTCAACCGTCGCTTGCTAGAACTGACATACCAGGAGGCTCTGCCTCCTGCCATATATGGCGTTTGGCTACCGATTGCCTTGCGGGTTGTTCCGGACGTACTGCAAGCTGCCATTCAGGACCCAGTCTCTCATGGCGTGCGTGAGGCCGGCATTCGTGCCTTGGCGCGTGCCTTCCATAGCAAGGAATGGAAAGCACAAGGGTGGGATGCCCTTGGTGGCGCGGAGGGGATCAGGGATCTTCTCACTGAACTTTCTGTAAGGGAAATCGTTCTGGTGTTTAAATCCATTGCAACATGTCGGCATGTGGCCGAGCCGGAGATTCTATCGACTTGCGTGGAAGATCTCATTCGTCTCTTACAGCGTGAGAGTCCATCTCGGTTGTCACCATCTCTTCTGCGACCTTTGTATCCATTGTGCAGTTCTACTTTCCTGAAGGACTTGCTGTCAGGCCTGCCGGAGGGGCCCTCGTTAGTGTCGGTGGTTCAGAAATTAGGTCGATTGCACGCGGATCTTGTGCAGCAGGTTGCTGTCGGCCACATTTCAGTACCTCTGGAAGCACAAGTGAGAGTATTGAAAGACCGAGTACATGATTTGATTGATTCTCCCAAACCCTATACTCCTCTGCTCGCAAGGGACCTCCCATCCGATATGCCTCCCGGACTAGTCTTCTGCTTAGACCTGTATCATGTGATGTCTGAGAATTTCCTACTCGCCACCAGGGTGGGAGGGGCTCGGGAGGAGTACATAAAGAAGGCACTGAGGCTCGCATGCCGGAAGAATCTGCCATCCAATTACATCACAATATTTCTTCAACATATGGCCCCGCTTTGGTTGCGGTTGATGCGTACCCTGTTGGATGACTCTCTACCTGAGCCCCTGTTTCAGGAGGTTATCGGCTGCTGGTCTATAGCTCGATGCGGGACGACTGGTACTGCTACTGAATCGACAGTGAAACGGTTTACAAGGAGCAATAATAGGTCGCGGCCAACCAGAGATGACGAGATGGCTTTAGAGTCAATACTGAAGCGTTTGATAAACTCCACGGCAGATCCAAGAGAGAACCTGAAGGATGCTCGTCCCCTTCTCGAGGCTAAGCTATTGGAACACATTGCGCCATCAGAAAGACTTGCATTTATTAGATTGGTTTGTCAACATTCTGAGCAGTTGAGGTTTGACATTGATATGTCTCCTCCGTCTGAGCGAGAAAAAAAGCTCGTTCCCATATGGCACTTTGAGACTCTACGTGTACTACCGGATACAGACGGACAACGCTTGTTTGACAGAATGCTGGCCATTCATGGTTGTGAGGAATTCATACCCACACCGCCAGAAGTGCAGACTCTAAGCTGGACCGACCAGTGCCTTTTGAAAATCGGCTGGGAAGCACGAGCCGCACACACTGACGACCTTCCATTTTCTCACAAGGGTATGTTAGGTTCTATGCTTAGTGAATCAGGCTAATGTGAGTAGTTATCAGGGAGATGCAGGAAGAGGCCAGGCGAGGAAGAGATCATGAACATCGATTAAAATGGGCGGGTGTGGCTGTTGACGCTGCTCTTGCGACTTCCTCCGCAGACATCTTTACTTCGGTGGTCCAGTGGACACAGAGATTCTTGCGTGATCCGGTTTGTCAAGCCTGCCGTTGCTTTAACCTTGCTAACCCAGGTAGCTCGTATTTCCGGATTTGCTGAAGGACAAAATACTAGGCTCTGAGGTCGCCAGCTTTATCTCATGTGTTGATATTAGCCCAGCCTGCAGACCGACATCTATATCGCAGCTCAGTGACGTTGTACAAGGGGCAAACAAGTCATTAGATAATGTCCTCGAGCTCGTGCTCCTTGCGAGCCAAGAACCAGGCGGTAAAAAAAGGTCAATAAACCGGCTGCTCAACTTTATATCGAAGATTGTAGAAAGCCGAATAAGAGGGTTGAAACAGTATCAACCACTTGATAGCCAGTCAGAGGTTGCAAATGTGCTCCTGAACCCTCTTATTCCACTATTCCTGGCATACGAGTGCATCGTGCAGCCTGACGAAGAACCAATAACGAACAAGAACAGGTTAAAAGGCCTACTGGCAAACTTGGAATGTCCAGCCCAACCGGCGGAAGCTGCTATTATGTTTATAGACAACCTTGCAGAGAGAAGAGACAGACTGTGGCAAAAGACACGCACCAACACTGATATTGCTATCAGCCGCCTTGGGAAGGGCTGGCCGAAGGGGCTCCCGATCCAGTACCTTGTTCCTGGCACACGATGGGCGCACTACGCGTTACAGTATACAACCGCAGCACCTTATCTCCGGAGTAGACTGGAAAATGTTATGAAGGCTCCCTTCCATGACACATTGACGCCTAAACCTGAACTAGATGTCATGCCCAGTGATGAGTGGGTCGACAGTTTGCGCTACGCTATTGAATCCTACGTTGGTATAGGAGAAGAGAAAAACAAAACGAGTCTTGTAAGCCTTTTTCAATACTACAAATCTGAGCTGGAGAACTTTGTGGCTGGAAACCAGCAGCATTTTGAGCAGCTACAGATGTTTCGACAATGGCTTCGCGGTTTGGCTGAAACAATGGAGGCCCCTGAGGCAGCAGCAATCATTGATCAGGATCAATATACTCGGACACCAAATACTAGATTTCTTGACCAAGACCCTAGATCTCATGGTATGTTTGTGTGGGACCCTAGATATGAATGTTGTGAGGAAGAGGCGGACGAAGAGCCAACGGATATCCCTGTCACATTGCTGTATTGTCGCATGTATGAGGAGATACCCACGTCTCAGACTGTCCCATTCCCGCAGGACGAAGCTGTGGTTGATCCACTGTCGGTTTGGACTCTGGATCGGACGTCTCCAACCAAGCTTGACAAGCCGTTTTTAGAATGCCAAGAGGCAGTGATTTTGTCCTCTATACTCTTCCTACATACCAACGAGGATCGAAGGCCACTCGTCTCCAGCCCTTTCCCCAACAGCGCATCCATGAGATATCCACGGGTTTCACTGGATGACCGCTTCATGATGTACGCAAAAGAGGATAGCAGTACTGCTGGGAAGAGAGCCACACAAGCGCTGAAAAAGTTCATCAAGGCAGTCCCGGCTAGGTTGCTACGAGATTTGGTAATGTCTCTACTAGATACGGCCGAAGACCTGTCTCCAAAGTCAACCTCTTATGGGACGGTTCTGGCCGGTGTGACTGATATTATTGTCCTCTTAGGGCTTTCCGATCGACCGGAACTAGCTGTTGATGTTGTAAACCGAGTGATACAAAGTCTTCCCGATGCATCATCATATCACAGACACATGAGATTGATAGGCCTTGGCCGGAGACTTCAACCAGGCCGGGCCAAAGACTTCATTGAACAATTCGCGAAGTTTGTTACGGACGGCCTCGAACAGAATAAAAAACAGTACAACCAGAGTACTTCAGACAACAGCGAAACTGCAGATCAGCCAAAGCATTTCGTCAAAATTACCACCGTTAAAATGCTAGGCGAGATCCTCGCAGAAGCAGCATTTCTCCCAACTACGATGAACGTGTCTGTGCTGCAGAACCTATTCAACAAAAGTCATCATATTGATGTTCGGGCGCGGGTAGTATCTGCGGCCCTGTGTCTCTTTGACAAAGCGTTCGATACAAAGGTGATCTTCAGCACTATCGCCGGTTTCGCCTCCCAAGTCGTAGGGCCCAGAGAAGCAGAGCCGACCAGTGAAGCGGAATGGATAGATGCGGAGAACGGCGGTAAACTTCCCACTGTTTCGTTGACAGATGAGCGTCCAGCCCTTGACTTGTTCGTCAAGACCGCGTACCATAGACTTCCTAAGGAATACATGGCAGAGTACGTACAGAAGATTCTGCTCCCGCTGGTGGACGAGTCAGCCCGTCAGCACAAGCGATGGATGAAGGTCTTTCTCAGTCGTACCGTCGCGGACATGAGTGTACTCAAGACCGTTGACTTTGGGCCATTCCATATCCAAATAATTGATGAGATCCTGGGTAAGTGGAAAGAATATCTGCCAGCGTCCTTCCTCCGCCGCCGCCGCGACTACGCACTATCCTGCATCCATCAGCTGGAGCTAGAGAGAGTCACCCAAGCGATCGCGAAGCGGGACCCCGGATATAGACAGACAAACGCAGGAAAACACTGGAGCCAATACATAGACTCCTGTCGCACCTGGCAGCCGTTGGGCCATTTAAAGAACCTTCTCGGTGAACCTGTAAAATCAAAGGTCCCCGATGGAATTACCATCGAGAGTCTAGCAACGGAGTATGTCGAGCGAGCGGCCATCATTGCAAGACATCCTATCAAATTCGCGTCGGAACAGGGCAAATTCGTTGTCTCGACGGACGTGATTATGGATGCATTAGAATCCCTTCTGGTTAAGACTCGTGGGTATTGGGAAACGGAATACGAAAGCCAGCACCAGTTGCTTTATCAGAAGCTCTTGGAAGAGATCGCAGCTGATGTAGAATCCCTCCGGACCGAGGAATGGCGGAATAGCATAGATCGCCAACCCGTGGTACTTCCGTCGTGGCTGGAATTGCAGGTCACCATCCTTCCCTCGCCAAAGGTAAACCCGTTGGTTGAGGAGCCGCACAAAGAATTTGTGCGTCGTGTGCTGCTGCTTGTGGAGAGTTGTGCAGAGGAACCGGCCTTTCTGGCGGAATTCAAGCTCCTGGAAGAGGCAATGGAAACTGCTCAGCATGCGGAAATATTGTCCTGTGCCTTGCTCCTCGGAAATGGGCCTGTGAGTGAACATACCTCGTTGTATGGTACGTTGAGGATCCAGTTGGCACAAAATCTGGTTTCGCGTCTCGATCCAGCGGAGCTGGAGCTCAATGATGAAGTCAAGGCCATGTTGAGGAAATGGAAGACAAGTCCTAGTGAATATGTCCGAGGTGTTGGATGGAGGTTTGATAATACAGTGCCCTGAGTGTACGTTATTATTATTAGGTAGCTATCTGTCCATAGTACTGTCCAGACAGGTAGATGGCTAGTATACAATTGTTCATATATAATACAAAGGAATATACAACAACAAAGATCGACTATCGAACAATATAAAACCCATTAACCTCCACCTGTCGATCCCGCATCTCCGCCGTCGCCGACCGAACCCCAAGCCAATGGAGCGGCACTTTTTCAACCATCTTCTCCGCCCGCGTCCTTGCATTCTCCACGCCCTCTCTCGTGCGACCAACCCAGCCTACCTGCCGCTCAGGACCACCAACCACCTCCGGTGCCCAAGCCGGATGCTCAAGTATCCCCTGCACACAATCAATGTCACACGCATCCGCCAGTATCTCCGCCTCGGCTGCCCTCTCTCGCGCAACGACAAGATCTTTCTCCGTCATCCCAGACGGAGACGGAAGGGGGATATCCGGCCGCAGAAAACACATGACACGGATTTGCACCCTGCTTGAAGTCGGGATGTGGACTTCGTCGATGAACCGGAGGAGAGTTACTTTTTGCATCGCTGAGCTTAGGTTCACCCTGCCCTGGTATGATGGGTTTAAGGGACTGATGGAGAGGATTGTTGGGTACCAGGGGCTTTTCTGACTTTGGGTTTGGAGGTCCGGTGGGTTGGATGGTGTCAGATGTGCTGTGTCGGGGTTGTAAGGAGTGTATGGTGAACTTGGAAACTGAGTAGGTGACTTAGGAGGTGTATTTGACGGTCTCCTGTCGAAGTCGTAGCGTGCCCAGGCGAGGAAATACCCCCGTAGTTTGTCCAGTACTGTATCCGGGACTTTGGTAAGTGTGTACCGCGGGGTTTCGCCGAATGGTCCCTGAGTTTCGGGCTGAGTGCGCGCTTTAAAGTCCATCGGGAAGGGGGACTGCGGGCCGTTTTCCAGCGCCGCGGCCTTTTGGTATTCTTGGATTTGTCTGGCTCGACTTTCCGTCTCATCGGCGGGGGCTGAATCATCGTTGCCTCTGTGGTTTCTCATGCGCGCGACGCGATCTTCCGCCCCGCTTAGAGAGTATGCTGTTTCTGCTGCCGTTTGTGTGATTGTGCCTGGTTTATAGGGCGACAATCTATTTGAGACGGCCGATGTAACTGGGTTTAGGATCGCCTGTGCCGCTGTTTGGGCGTATGTACTTAGGACCATTGCGCCGACCTCGAGGGGCATGGTTGATAGACTTGCGCCGCGCAGTGAGCTGGGGTCTAGCGAGGTACTGAGGACCCTGAAGACGGGACTCGAACAGAGGACCTTTTTCTTCGCGGATTGACAGAGGTTCAGTTGGAAGTAGCCGTCGCCTGCCTCGGCGGGGATTCTTGCGACGATGGTCTCGCGGAGTTTGTGGCTTAGTAGCTTTGACGGCGCCTTTTTGCGGAATTTGTTAATGTCTCTTTGCCAGGCGCGCTCATCGCCCGGAGACACTTGGTTTGCGCGAAGTGCGAATGACGGCGTCACGTCTAGCCAGTCATCTGTTAGCCGGAAGAGAGCCTTGGCTTTCATGCCTGTTTTCCCGGTCCAGCCGCGGCTTTGGAGGAAGTATGTTCTGTCTGCGGGGAGAGGTGTATCTGAGAAAATGGATATGGCGATGGAGGTCGTGCTCCCGCGGTAGAAGACTATGCCATGGGAGTGTCGGAGGATTGTGTAGTGGCGGGTTGATTCGGTCGGGTGCGCGATTAGACCGCCTAGGAAGTGGGAGACTTCGCCGTAGGCCTTTTGGATGGCGTTTGGGCCCGGGGGAGGGAGGGAGGTGGCGGAGCGGGCGAGGGCGGATGGCGGATTGCGCAGGTTGGGGGTGCTTTTGTGGTTGCGGAGGGGTGGGGTTGAAAGGCTTGTTTGGAGGGGTGGTCGGAGATTGATTGATGATTTTGGTACTGGAGGTGCGACATTGGGACCTTGGTAGTAGGGCGGTGGTGGTCCATATGGTTCGGGGGGTCTTCCATGGCTGGTGGTTGGTCTCAGTGTTGGTGTTGTTGTGTTTGATGTCCTTCCGCTGGAGGTTTGTGGGCGTGGTGCGGTGGTTAGGATAATGCCCGTTTCTTGCGGAGGCAAGGCGACGGGTTTGCGCTTGATAGATTGGTGGTTGGCCATTGTTGCATTTTGGTTGTCATTGACCCTGTTTCATAGAGTTTGCAGTGGTTGTTGTCTGTTGCTGTATGGATGATGAAAAGGAGAAAGTTGGGTGCCAGCGGAAGTGATTGGCGTTGATAAGATAAGAAACGTCATGATTCATGATGTCGATCTGGGGATTGTAGTAGCTTCTCATTGGTGGAACATGCTTAGTCAGACAGAGTTATGCACAGTTAGGCATAATAAATGCATTTGATGATCTATGGGCCAGACAGGGTGAATGGCTGTTGGTCTTGTGAGGATAATATGACTCTTCCATGCTGGGAAATGGAAATGTATAGATGCTCTCTCTTTGCCCACGCCTCACTAGTCAATCTTTAGGGCTCACGTAGTCATCGCGAGCACTCTATAACTCACTATAATATATATCGTGGCATAAGCTTACTAGTCAGACGACAGACAAACCATATATATAATGGCCGACAAGCCTATCTGACAACCGCCGCTCGGCCTCCATCAAGCAAGATTGTCTCCCCATTCAAGTATCCCCCTGACCGACTCGTCATCCACAGTATCGTACCGGCAATATCCTCATCGCTGCCTGCCCGAGTGATAGGAATGAAATCAGACGTAAAAGACTCGTCTGAGATTCCACGCCCTGACACTCCATTTCTCTCAAATAGATGTTTCGAGAGGTCACTATAGAACAAGCCTGGGGCCACACCATTGACACGGATCCGGTATGGCGCGAGCTGGGCCGCAAACACCTTCACTAAATGCAGTAGAGCGGCCTTCGAGAATGAATATGCTAGACTCGATGGACGATTTACTATTGCCGATATGGAACTGGTCACAATCACTTGCGGATGCGGTAGTGCAAGCTCATTGGAATCTTGTTGTGGGCGGCGCTTGTTTGCCTCGTCTAGCAGCGGCAGAAACGCCAAAATGGTGTAGTGTGTGCCGGTAACGTTGACGTCCAGAGCCTCGGAGAAGTCGATCATTCGATGACCCCAGTGATGGTCGCGAAATTCAGTCAGGGTTGGAGGGGACCCGTCTGGTTTTGGCGGTAAAAGGGCCGATGGACCGTTGGTGCCGCTATTCGCAAATAGAAGGTCGATGTGCGAAGTCTGGGCCGCTACGGTGCGGTATGCATTTTCTAGAGATTCTTGCGAGGTTATGTCTGTGACAATGGGAATGATGGAATGATTCGTCGCTTGAGCGGCTGTTTCATGGAGTGGTTGCTCACGACGCCCGAGGATAAAAACTTTGGCGGCGTTGTTGACATCTAGAGCAAGGGCAATGGCCCGTCCGAGGCCTGTATCTGTTAGTATCATACTGAGATGTAGGGATACTACTACCTGCCTGTTCCACCGCCTGTAATGACGGCGACGATACCTTGGACAGAGAAGAGATTAGATGCATGGAGGGACATTGTCACGATATCATCAGCTTTGGAATTAACTCAAGGAACATAGAGAATGAGTTGGGCCTGGTAAATGGTGGGGTTGGTAATGGATGCCTTGGGCATGCAGTGCTGCATGTGATGTATCACATTTCTCGGTGCCCTCCATAATCAAACACGTGTACCGACGCTATCATCCAGGACATACTCTTGTAGAAATGCATAGAATATTGAGAACATTCTCTTAAAGTGCAGAACTTAGTTGATGCTATTAGGTCTGATCAAGAGCACAGCTGGATAATTATCTCTAGCTATGTAGATGAGCAGCGCCAATCCTCCACAACGGATAGCTGTATTGGCGTCAGTAATGTCTGCCCTCCACTCAGCATTCTCACCACTTCTTAACCCCATCATAAAATCATCATGTGACCACTGTCACATTGTTGCATTAACTCTCGAAAGCACAAAACGTGTCGCGTCGTCCTTGTATTTCACCGCGTATCTTCTATGAACCCCGAACCAAAACCCCGACGCGCAGTATATGTCGCCCTCATCGCAATACGACCGCCGAATGAAGTCGTATTTGGTGCACACTGTGTTGTTCACGCGCGGGAACTTCTGGCTCTACATATTAGTTGTAGCTCTAGTTCGGAGAGGAAAGTCGAACCCCGGTGTTCTTGCTTGTGCCGAAGTCATACGGAAGACTTGGGACAAATGTAGGATCCCCCATTGAAACCGCTGCGATAACTGTAGACCGGTAAGTAGCTAACTTTGTTATGAGACTGACGCTCACCTACTCCTTGCACCCAGGTGATCGTGAATTGGAGGGATAGGTGGAAAATCCCTCTCGACTATGGAGCCGCAAAGAATGTCACCGATGATATGAGCACCCTGACTGCTGTTAGCAAAGAAAACGAAATGGCCAAAATGAACAACTAGCCTGAGAGTATCCTAGAAGCACAATCTTTGAATCCGGACAATGTGACGTATAGTTAATGATAGCAGTGACCATAGCCTTGTCCCCAGCGAACACCGACGAATGATATCGCCAGATATCGCCATATGCCGGATACTGGAGCGCTTCCGAGTCAGAACTTGGGAGTTTTTGTTTGATATAATCAGCTAGCTCTTTCAAACGACCTTCCCCTGGCCAGGCGCTACTCTGTCGGGCAACGATCATGTGGATCTTGACGCACGGAGAGGGCTGAGTGGCAAAAGCAAGACAAATGAAACTGAGTAGCACAAGGAGGACTGGATTCATTTTGTTCGGATACTTGAGTGATGTGATCAAGTGGAGGGTGATAGGATGCGGTTCTATTGAATCTGTTCCGAGCAACTGGAGGCGGAAGGGGAAGCTTGAAGCATCCACATCCTTTCTCAATAGGTGTAGTAGTTCCTGAGGCCATGAATTACCTTTTTAAGCCAGATCACACTAATACTACTAATAAGGCCACTAGTAGTTTCAACAACAACTGCAGCTACGTAGTAGTTTATGAGTAGAAATATTTCGTCATATTTGTATTTCCTTTGCTTGATTTATCTAGTCACCAGCACTATCGCACAACATAAATTCAACTGAGACCGAATCGTGTTAGAGTACTATAGTATACATAAGAAATCAACGAGAAAAATTCGGGAATTACAATCAACAGAAGAGGGAAACTTTGTATATAATAGCCTATCATACGTTATTTTATTAACATGACCGTAGTTAGCTCCGGTAAATCTGACTACATATGAATGGCTGAGCTGGAGATTTCCTGATAGCCGTATAATGCTCGCTGTTGGCTAAGTTATCGGAATAATGGAAATAGACAATAAACAAGCAACGAAAGAAAATAGACAAAACAGCGTGCAAACAAAGAAAGAAGAGCATGCAACTAGTCATAGGCTTGAGCGTCTTTGTGATGGGCACATTCGATTTCCAGGTGTCTTCTATGCCATGCATGGGCAACAAGGCCCGCCCGGTTTCTCACCACCATATGGCAGTCACAGCACATGTACCAGATTGGAGAAAGATGGCATCTTCTGACATGCGCCTTGAACCTATCGTACCCAAATTGAACGGAGCTCGGCCCCTCACAAGGGCGCCATGGGCACTTGAATGGCCTGGGACAATGCACTTGGTAGATATGGTCCAGAATGTCCTGTGGGTTCTGAAAGGTCCCACATCGACTTCCATCTGGATATATGCAAGAGTATGGTGGAGGATGCTCCACGCACATCATGATATAAGCTACCACTTTGGTAAGTGTGATATTATGGTCCTTTCCATCGTCGACCCAAATCGCCTTATCGACCTCCTGAATATGGCCTACAACGTGAGCCTCAATGTCATCATCACTAAACCACCGGTCTGGACACCAAGGGCAGAAACATAGTGCCTCAAAGCCTGTGCTAGGGATATTTCTAAGTATGGTTAGCAGACCAATCTTCATGGCAGCAATTTATACAAACATGCCGATGTGTAGTGGAAGGCCACTCGGGTAATGGCTGATAACTCGGCGGAACACTGTCTGCCTCATAGCATTGGTCAATTGAGCTCTCAAATAGCGCTTGGCCCCCGTCATAGATACTAGTATCTGGCTCAACAGTGTTGAGCACATACTTAATGCTCATGCGGTTGATAGACATTGCGTCAATGACAAATAACAGAAGCCTGTGTTCGAAAAGAATTGGGTAAGTCCCAGAGAGGCCTTTTTCATGATTATTATGAGATATTGTCACGTCGAAGGGGAACTAAAGGAGCTGATAAGGTTAATGCGACTAGCTCTTATTATATATCATAGGCCTTGTGCTATTTGTCTCAAGTCCTGTTCGGCAATTTGACTATTCATTGTCACAATGTGGTCTGGTAAACTCCAGGGAAGACCCAGCAATGTATGGTATTATCATTCCTTTTGCAGTGACAACCCAAGTCCAGCAAAGTTAGAGAGATCTAAGCTCCCCATATGCTGAGCTACAAGCAATGCCGCAACTAATATAGTAATGCTTCAGAAAGCATCACTGCCGCATGTGCTCTACTGTATCGCCATGCGTGTAAGTCCCCACAGCCCCGGATGACTAACTACAAAAATAGCTTACTGCTCTTCGTTGTATGATAAGAAGTTCCTGGGTAGCCTGCTTACGTGGTGATAGAGCAAACGCCATAGTCAAGCAGGCTTTGCTGGCGGCTTGTCTCCTACACAGACGAAGCATTCAACCGAATTAAGCTGCAGGAAACTCCCTAGCTCTATTGGCATATCCCTATCGTTGATTGAAAATGTGCTTGATGTTGGTAGATTCCAAAGCCGTATTAAGCGTACCAAGAGCAAAGCTCTTTTTCAAACACGGCCATTGCGTCATATATGGCTTGAAGGTATGACAGTGTTTTATCGATGACTGACCTGAAAAGAAAGAGCAACATCCCTTTCTGCTCATCTCTTGGATCTGAGACTTAGATTCCGCCCCCAACACAGTAAGACAATATGTGGGGATTGGGGAGGCGACGGTGGGTCAGAGATACCCAGCTAGTCTCGCTTAAAGTCGACACAAGCACTTTCACACGAGAAATATCAATATACTCCGGAGTACGTCGCTGTTTGGTTCGCTTTCAATGGACAGAAAGTTAAAAAGGCAGATACAGATGCCCCGTTGCTGTCTGAAACCGGAAATTTGCACGAAGTACTCCATGACCCGCACCGATCTCGTGGCGCCCTATCAAGCGATTCTAATATGGCGAGTGAGGAACCAAGTTCACCTTGCCCGGGGACTAGACCCTCCTGGACCCTGTATCACTCCTGATACTTCTGAGTCCTGTGGTTGGGGGTCTATTAAATGGTGTGGAATGATTTTAAAGGAAATGCAAGACCATTGAGAGGCGAGTAAGTAGGAGCTGAGTCAATACTAGTTGAACTGAGAGAAAATTCATTAAACAAACATTTGAGGGCCAGATTCCTGTTCTTTCAGCCTTTTTATCTCTCTAGTAGAGCTAATGACCCACCTACCAAAGTCCCGACCCTGGCTATGTCTTGGTCTTGCATCTGTTTCCCATGGTACCTCCATCTTCATATCCCATAGAACTTGCTAGGAACTTACGAGTGGATTAGTGCACAACTAGTCCGCTGCGACAATGTAACTCTGCTGTTAATTACCTGTGTGCAGAGCCGCAGGCCTTTGCTATAAAGCCGTTATAATATCCAGAGGGTAGAATTGCTTATGCTCACGATATTGGTTCTACCGAGACAATAAACATCCCAATCATGAAACCCTTTAACGTCCTTTGCTTGTTCGCTGCTGGCCTAATGGCTCAGGTATGTCTGAACCCTATCCCGTTCGCCTTGTGCTTGCTCAGTTTTGTCTAACCCTACATCAGGTTCAAGCCAACGAGTCCCCCATCGAGGGATATACCGTTGAGGAGATCTCATGGGAAGTCGAGACGACTCCCGGAGGCCCAACCGTCGTTCTGAATGGCACAGTCGAGAAGGTCCTATCTCAACTGCGCGAGATCAATCCTAACTATGAGGCCGAGTTCGCCACCGTTGTTCCTGAGATTGACGAGCCCGCCAAGGAGTCTGCTGAGGAAGCAGGCGCTTCATCGCACTTGGCCAAGCGTGGCGATGTTGTTTGCGGCAAATTTCCCAGTGCCTATGCCAACAATATCGACCAAGGCATTAAGTACTTGAGAAGTGTTCCTGGCCAGCCTCAAAGAGGACCCGGCCCCGGCAGCTGTGGTCAGGTCAGTTGTTCCTGGTCATCAGCTATTTGGTGGTGCAATGATGTAAGTACTTTGAGATTACGTGCTCGTTTGTAGTAACGCATATTGACCTGGATTAAAGAATACCTTCACGAAAGTCCTGCCCAGCTTCAACAACATTGCCGACGGCGCGCAGCTGATTAAAAACACTTGTCTTCGTGGAGGTCAGACCTTCTCTGGTCAGGATTTCCATGACGACAAGTGGAACACCATTGTTCGTTTCAGCTCATGTTAACAGCGGGTTGCAGTAGGGAACTTGTGAGGTGGTGGGATTTTTACGACTCTGTGCGAGCTTCATGAGATGTAACGTAAATATTGCTTGTTGAGAGTTAGATAGTATTTGGCACCGAGCCCAGGCGTCCAGGCTTCTTCGCAGCGGTCAGTGCCGACAGCGCCTTACCGTAATTAGCCTAGCGCGAGAAATTAAGGGCCAACTTGGAACAAAACAATCACTAACGCCGTCCGTACTCGAATTAATCTACAAATTCCTGGTGGACGATGGATATTCTTTGACTCAACTAAATTGAGGTGAAATAACAATCCATTAGTGAGAACAAGTTAACTTCCATTGGATATCCAGCATCTAGTGCAGGAATCCGCACTGCTTCCAATTATGTAAATACCGCCGAGCGGTCTCGTCACTGACTGGCCCGACCCTCGCCAGAGTCGAGGAATGCTCCTTCGCTCTTGTCGTTTCCAACAAAACCCCGCCACATGACATACGTTCGAAGTTTTCTTCCAACCAGTCGGCCATCAGACGTGCTGGATTATCTTCTGCTGATCCCGGATAACTGCGGACTCGTTGGATCCATTCAGAGAACGGGACAATGCTACTAGTGGGAATACCAAGCTCACTGGCCAAAAGGGCTATCATATTATGCCATCGTTGGCGAACGGGGTTATCCAAGTGGTACACCGGGAAGGGTGTATTGTCGGTGACCAGCAGCTCCACCAGACTGGCGGCGACCTCGTTCACAGGTGTCCATGAGAGTGCTCCTTGCAGGTCTGGAAGTAGCTTGAGTGTCTGTGCCGACTTGACTATGGCTGGGAAGTGCTCTGCTATTTTCCAGCACCCACTGCTGGAACACCCAGAAATCTGGCCTGGGCGGACTATCATAGCTTGGAAGCGATTGGGATATCGCTGAAGAGTCTCTTCAAGAATCCGCTCGCAGATAAACTTTGCCTCACTGTATCCATTGGGTAATACAAACTCGATGTTTGTTGATTGCTCTGGGACATTATTCTGCCTGGTGATAGAGGGGTAATGTCCAACAGTCGCAATAGAGGAAACAAACTGAAACCTAACTCCCGAGTCCTTTCGATGATGGCATGCAATGTCGTTCGCGAGATCAACTAGGTGACGCATCACTTGGAATTGCTTCTCAAAGCCTGATATGTCTGAGGCTCCATTCATTGGCCAAGCATTGTGGATAATATGGGTCACAGTAGTCTTGAGAGTGTCATATTGCTCTGACGAAAGTCCTAAGTTGCTGTGATAGGTGGTTGCCCCCAGTACTTTTACCTTACTCAGTTCATGAGCGGCTAAGCAGATCCCCCGCTTTTTCAGTGCGGATGTCTGTCTTTCCAATGGCTCGTCATTGCCTTTAGTTCGGTTCAGACAGAATATTGTGCCCACGGACTGTTGTCGGGCAAGATGTGCCATAATATGGCAACCCAGGCTACCGGTTGCACCAGTCAATAGTACCACCTGCCCATCTGACCCAAAGCCGCTGCGTGAAGCTGTGGGCGGAGTGAAATCCTCAATACTCCGTCGGATATACTCGGTAATTACTTTGTTTCGTGCGCTGTTATCGGCCTGGTTTTCTGGGTGCACCCTCTCTATAGGGCTGCCGAGCGGCAAGCGTTGACTTTGCGTCCCAGTTGCTGTGGCGAAGATGACCCTCTGCACGCTTACCTCTGGTGAATGACCATCTGTCCAATCCACATGCCCGTAGCCTACTGTGTGCATATCGGCCTCCCAGCGCCGTTCGTTGGTAATGGCATGGTTGCGACCGTCATTGAACACCCACCAACCGCGGAAGAGCCCAAAGACAATATCAATTGCGAAGGCTGGTCGCGTCATTTCCAACATCAGAACGACTCCGTCTGGCCGTAAGGCTGCCCGCATGTTTCGCGTGGACTCCTGCAGGTTGGATGTAGCGTGAACAGCGTTGCTGGCTATGATGATATGCTGCGTGCCGACGAGGTCATCGGCAGGGGGCTTCTCAATATCATGAACGCGATATCGCACAAATGAATGCTCCTTGAAGCGTCGTCTGGCTTGTGTAATAAAGGCTGTTGAGATGTCGGTGAAAGTGTACTCGACCGGAATGTCAAGCTTTGATAAAACCGGAAGAAACCATTTCGTGCCCCCTCCCGTACCTGCTCCCATCTCTAGAATCCTGAGAGGTCCCACCTCCGTTCCTGCTATTAGAACTTTCTTTATCAGCCGTTTTGTGAAGTCTATCATTTGCAGATATCCCACAATATTGTGCGGCTCGTCACCATACATCCATGATACTAGTTCCTGACCCTCCTTGGTGCCAAAGATCAACTGAAGGCCGTCTTGTTCACCGCGCAACACAGAAGCCAGCTTGCTGCCCGTGAAATAAGCTAATTTGCTGGCGCCAGAATACTCGGGATACGAGCACTTGATTTCTTCCAGAATAGAAAGACTAGATTTGTTGGGGGCTGGGATGGCTGTGCGGATGACAGTGTTGCCGTCTAGGTGAACAAGTTCTGCTTCTTCAAGTCTCTTGTAAAGGTAGTCGACTAGTTCTTGATGCTGTGGGTCGAACGGTATTCGGTCGAGGCACTGGCCACGCGATGCAGTGCGGATGTAACAACCAAGTTGCTCAAATGCTTCTAGTGTTAACGTAATACACAGCTCAATCTGCAGCGGCGCAAAGATCTGTATACGGCCGCTGCACTTATTCTCCTCAAGGAAACGGTCGGTGAGCGCCTTGGTCTCTCCAAATGCCTCTAATACACTTCGCAAGGGTAGCTCTAGATCTGGAGTATCCGATGCAACACTGGTGCCTGGCTCTGTGTTAGGAGTGTTGAAGCCCCTATCAGGACTACTGTCTTTGGAGCTTGTATCCTCTAGACTCCAGTTGGAATTATCCTGTTCGTCATTGTCACACTCTCCCACGGCAGCCTTGACGCAATCGACCAAGTCTCGGAATGTATCTGCCTCCATCAAATTTGCGGCAGGTAACGTACACTGAAAGGCCTCCTCCATCTCACGAGCGAGTTCCATCGCCATGAGCGAGTCCACTCCGGCGTCTGCCATGTTACCGTCCTCCATGATCTCGTTAGGGTCCATGGCACAGAAATTAGCTACAACTGCCTTGACCCGGGCTGTAAGGTTAATCCTCGAACTCTGCTGGCTCTGCTTGGACTTGGCTCCAGCATCTTCTGGGGCCGGTACGGCTGGGTGCGACACTGCAAGCTGAGGCTTTCCACCATCGGATGAACGTGTTGCACATCGTGGCATAAATTCGCCGATAATCTTGGAAAATGTTGCCTTTTTCACTTTCGTATATTTCATCCCCAGAAAGATCTCGACAAGCTGTCCCGTTGTCGGATCAAACACGAAGATATCACTAGTATAATAGTCATCTCTTTGCTCGTGTCTTGCTAATATATCCCATGTGTCCGGCCGAGGGGTAGCAGGGTCAGCATATATTGGCGAGCGCATCCATCTCTCCATGCCACTGGCTAGGTACATATCGGAGGGTGCCCGATCCGTCATGCAATTGACCCAAAAGCCACCAACCTGGCTAAACGAGTCACACAGACATGTATCCGCCCATGTCTGTCCGGTGTACCTCTTTACTACTCTACCTGCTGACTCATTATCACTTCCAACGAGCTTTTGCACTCCACGATATGGCTCAGAATAGTCTACAATCTCAGCAAAAGTCCGGTAGACATTCCGCCCTTGAATTATCTCACTTATATTCAGATCATTCAAAAGCTCCGTGCAATGGTGATGGCTCACCAGGCGGCTGTATCTAGCGAATTCGCCGCATATCTGTGCATCATGTGGGTCAAACATATTGAATCTGGCAGAACAGTGGAGGACTTGTGACCGTGGCCCCTTTTGTCGTTGTTCACTCAGGTACCTTAAATCCCATATATGCTTATGGGTGTCCTGCGCATGTAACTCAATCCATAGATCTCGGGACATGTCCAGACAGAGAGGTGCATCGCTCGTCACATTCTGAACCTGGGGAATTCTCCCTTTACATTCTGGAAACCTGCGCAATGCTTCAACCACGTAATCCAGCATTAAAGACGCAGGCGCAACTGGCGCAGTATGTGAAACAACATGCCCCGCAATCAACTCCTGGTACTGCGGATGAGAAATGTCGATGTTAAATCTGGCAACTAGTTGCTGGCTATCTTGGTATCCGACAAATCGTAAAGCAGACGCGTCAATCGCTGGTCTAGTACCCACCTCGTGGGAAGGACCAGGCAGGCTTTTGTTTGAAAGCCAATGCCGACTTTTGTCAAATTGATATGGCGGTAGAAGTATAGGGGCGTAGTCACGCGACTGCCGGGGATGGTGCGCCCAGAAGGTTACTGATACGCTTGCCTTCCAGAGACTGACCGTTGAATCGCTTAGGCTTTGCATGCCGCGGCGAGATGTGATGTTCACAGCTTGAAAGTGGTGTCCCGATGACGAGGAAAGAGCCCGGCTGACCATGACTGTGATCGTGGAATTGGAGCCGGCCTCTACCCATACGCATGGGCCATATCTCTCCTCCAATCGTTGTACTGCGTGGTGGAAGTAGACTGGCTCACGGAGATGTTCTGCAACCGTGCTGGACGACATTGTAGCCGTGCACGAGTTCCGTGTTGCCCTCTCGCACAGAATGATTGGCTGTTGAGGGTTTATCCCACTCATAACACCCTTGACGGCTGGCAACAAAGGTTCAACGAGGCCCGAATGGAAGGCATTTGTAACACATAATCTTTTCGCCTTAAGGCTAGCATACGCGGGGGCTTTAAGGGTTGCTTGAACGGCATCAATTGCAGCCGTAGCTCCAGCTAGTGTAAAGTTGCTGGGGCCATTAAAGCAAGCAATCGTTGCTGGATCAATATGTTTGGGGCCCCTGCGATAGGCATCATCTATGAGAAGTATGACGTCGTCCTTATTTCCCTCCACGACAATCATAGCGCCAGGGTCAGGGCCCCAGCCATCACGAATGATAGCTGCGCGGCGAGCGATCAGTGTAATTGCGTCGCGAAGTGATAAAGCGCCACATATGCATAGTGCGGTCAATTCGCCAAAGCTATGTCCAACAACAGCTGCAACAGATAGCCCCGAATCCATCCAGCACCGTGCGCAGGAGTATTGTAAGGAAAAGAGTTGGATGTGTAACTGTACATGGTCGGTAATGGGGTTGTGCTCAAAGATGGAAGGGAAAAGGCTACCGCATCCAGATGACTGAGCTAGGGAATCACATTGCCCCAAGTGATGACGAAGAAGCCAGATGGAATCATATACGGTGCGGTCCAAGCCCACAAAAATAGAGATCTGGCCACCAAAACACAATACAACGGGGCGAGGACTCTTTATAAGCCTGTAAGTGTTGGTCACATCACCATTCATAATGGAGCACAACTTCGAAGCAAGCTCCGACTGAGAGCAGCAGCAGAAGGCTAACTGCGACTCTAGTGTGGGATTGGACTGACGACAGATGTTAAACGATAGGTTTCCCAAGTCTGTAGCAGATGCTGCAGATATTACTTGATGATGGAGGAATTGGTGCAACCGGTGGGTGCAATCACTAAGTCGGCCGTCATCTGAAGCGCATATTCGGATTGGAAGAGGGAAGCTAGAGGCATGGGTGGAAGAGGACATCCGATGGTCGGACGCACCAGGAGCTTCCGTGATCACCATAGATGCATTAGATCCCGATGCACCGTAGTTATTGATTAGTGCCGCACGGAAGCCTGCTGTCCAATCTTTGAGAGTCATTGAGAAATGCATCTGATCATCCGGAGATGCTTCGATATGTCGATTCAGTGTGTGGAAGTTCGGCTGCGGAGGAATCTTGCCCTCGTTTATCATTAACAAGATCTTCACCAACGAAACCAGGCCGGACACACCTTCAGTATGTCCGATCAGGCCTTTAACAGACCCCAGGGCTAATGGAGTAGTGCGCTGTGGCCCGGCCAATGCCTTTCTGATGCTGACGTATTCCGCAGGATCACCAGCCTGTGTACCGGTTCCATGAGCTTCAACAACTGATATATCCCGAGGATGGAGGTGTGCCTGTCTAGTCACCTGCGTGAACAACCCTGCAAGAGAGCACGCGTCGGGCACTACGATCGGTGTGCAGTTACTGTTCTGCTCGACGGCTGTAGAAGCGATTGTTCCCAGGATAATGTCACCACTTGCCAAAGCCTCCGACATCTTTTTGATAAAGATTGCAGCAAATCCCTCCCCACGACAATATCCATCCGCGCTTGCGTCAAATGGCTTGCAAGGTCCTGTGGGACTCACAAATGAAGCCCCTGCAAGATTGTCATACGCCAAAGGACTCATAATAGCGTTAGCACCGCCGACCAGCGCTGCAGTACACTCTCCTCGTATTATAGATTGACACGCTTGATGAAGTGCGACAGCAGACCCGGAACATGCGCTATCAACACAAAATGCAGGACCACGCCAACCAAAGTAGTGGCTCAGTTTACCAGCCATGAAACTCCTAAGTAGCCCGGTTGCCGAATATGCGGAAACTGGGTTGCAATTGACATTGTGTTCATAGTCTACCGTACAGGACGCAATGTAGCACCCAATATTCTTGTTAATGTCGGACTGATGGAAGTACCCTGACTGCTGCACGGCCTGGTAGGCGACTTGTAAAAGCAGCCGTTGCTGAGGATCTTGGGACATGGCCTCCCGTGGCACCTTTTTGAAAAATTTGTGATCGAATGCGTCTATGTCCCGGACAAAGTTCCCAAACCAGGGTTTGATGGCACCCGGTCTCCATGGTGTCTCATAGTTTCGGTATCGCTCTAGGGGCATTTCTTGATGCTGTGACTCCCCGGAACAAAGTAACTTCCAGAACTCCTCCAAATCATCTGCACCCGCCACGCGACAGGCCATGCCAACTACGGCAATGTCGCTATCGTAACTCCGTGGTTTTTGGTGTAGAGGCGAAGTTCGCGAGAGTGGGCTTAGATCGAGATCTGCGAAGTGCACAGTGCGTCCCCGTAGCTTGCGCATATATGTAGGCGGGATGCACCGTTCTGGTCCAAATTCAACGATGATTGATGAAGTGTCTTCCAGGTGAGCCTGATATACTGTGCAGAATGTGTCAACCCATTGACACTGCTGTGCTAAGATTGACCGTAATACAAACTCATGAAGAGGACCCGGACGAGCAGTGTCCATTGATATACCAGGCCGCGTGGGATCCACCGATTGAGAGGCACCGGGCAGTTGCAAGGCTGGATCGCTATCACACATTCGGCACAGTGCATGCACTATATCCTCATTTCCAGCCCAGTGATATCTGCCATTGAATTCGACTCGCGTGGTATTGAATCCAGCTGATTGCAATGCCTCTTCTAGCTGCTTAATTGTCTGACGCGGTGTCATGATAGTGGCACGGTTGGCGTCGAAGCGTACCGTGACATACGACTACTCTGTCAACTGTTTTGGTCCTGTATCGGAGGTCAATGAACGTACCTCCGCAAATGGCTCCAAAATTAGTGGCAACCTTTTTTCAAGGTCGGCAGATTTCCAGACCGTTGCAAGCGAGGTATACTCCTCTTCCCTCTCCTGTGCATCACCGATAGCACCCATTAATGTTGCTAGCCTCAGAGCAACAGCGCCATATTTCCATAGTTCCTCCTGGTTACTAGCGACAGAAACAACAGCAGCACTTAGGAACCCAATACAAAACCCTACGATCTCCACGACCGAGCCTTCTGTCAATGGCTCATTGCCAGATGTTGGACTTTTAGGGTGCCCAAGGCGAAGATATTGCCAGTATTCCACAAAGTGGGTTATCATTAATATTGGGGCTAGTTGGATATACGTCAACGGAAAGCTGTCTGTCGGCACCTCTCCTGTGCGGAACCATTCAGCTAAATCACGGAGCTGCTGTGTCCCAGGGATGTTCTGCAGTTTCTGGACGTATGTCGTGGCTGCCGTGCGATAGTATACTGGTAGCTCCGATAGGACATCTTGGATCCAGCGATGCTCTGGTGTGCCCAGGACCGTGGCCCTGAGACGATGGAAGTCGTCGATAGTGAACGACACACATTGGCAGCCGAATATGACGACAGTCTTCCCACCAGGTGGTGGCTTCAGCTGGCTGGCCATATTGATTCAACTTGAGGCAAGGATGGGCTACAAGACCAGAACAAAAAAATGAGGGCGGGGGTGGAAGACTATAACACGGTCCAAGGGAGACCTCCTTGTTTCCTTCCATGGCTCAAGCCACCCTCTGACCCCGCGTCCCGAGTACTACACTGGCCTGGTATTTCTCTGGACACGCCCTGGTCTATACCAATCGTATTGATATTTCATTAGCGAAGGCATTACCAGTCGGAGTTTGTCTTCGGGTCATCTCCTCGGGGTGGCTGACTGGCCCATTCCTAGTCTGAAACAAAGAACAGACACAAACAGTCTATGGACCAGTGATGGATTCCCTACTGTCACACGGTGGCTGCTCTCCGCTTTCACATACCAGCTGATCTCTTGTCATATGCGTATGTCGCGGAGGTTATTTGCAATCCTACCATGGATGCTATTGGAGCAGCGCCAGCAAGGGATATGCCCAACGTGGTGGGGCGCGGGCCTCTTTTCCGTAGACTCATTATACAAGATGGCATTCTCCCAAGGAAGATAAAGGTTATATAGAATGAAAGCGCCATTTGTACGAGATGGAGCTTACGGTCTATGCTTCCTCGAGATCTATCACATGATCACCAATTACACATAATCCAGCCCTTTGGTCCACATCCAATGGATATGTCGATATGCTGGCGGTATGTTCATGGCCCCATTAGGACGCGCCAATTTCAATTTTAAACAGATATCCCAGGGCTCTGGCTCGGATTCTTCACTCGGTCCAAATCCTGCAGGCATTCGAGCAGTTCCTGTAGCATGATATCGAAGGAGCCGTCAAGATACGCATGTGCTGTGAAGAACTCGGTACACATCATGATCGGGATCGGGGTCAATGGATGCACCTATATTGTCAATAAACATTCTCTGGCTGGTCGAATTGGCAAAGTACCTTAAAATACCCTAGTTGGCCCTGTAGCTTCACCAGATTGACAACTTCGTGTGCGGCCATCACGCAAAGGCGCTCATACTCGAAAATACCTAACAAATGCTCACCTGTCTTCCATGTTATCGCTTCCAGTACGCTATGTAGGAATAGAACTAATGTCTGCGCTACGATCCTCGCGAAAATCAGCATCGGGTCCACATGTGCTGACGCGGAGAGCACCTGGATGCGATAGGTGAGCATTTCATGCAACCATTGGTGCCGAGTCCACAGTCCATCAACCAGGCCTCCATTCATTTGCTCCACAGCCGAAGTTTGTCTGTGTGAGAGTGCCCGGCCACATAGTGTGGCTAGGATGATGCATTCACTAAAAGAGGATTGGCCGCTGGCACTATCGCTGCTTGAATAGCCCGTCATGACTTCCGGCAGAAACGGGGTTGCCGTAGGATGGCCAGCTTGAAAGTCTTCTTCCGATGTCGGCAGTCGAGTCGCAATCTGCTCTTATTAGATGCGTAATACCCTGTGGTATTGATAATGAGACATACCAGGTGTTCATTTAAGGTATATGGCAGCGCGTTGTGGAAGCTAATAAACCGATCCAATGAATAGGCCATCCAAAAGGTTCGCCGCTGCTCCTCCAGCCCGGTCCAATCCACTAAGCTCGGTTCATGCTCCCGAGCCATTGTTACGGGGTTATTAGGATCATCTATCTCGTATAGCCGCATACCCAGGACCAGGCGACAACATCGACCAGCACTCATCCATGCCTGCTGAGGCGACATCTGCATGTACTCGTAAACGGAAACCAATACCCATGCCTGCGCTTGCTCAACTGCCAGTATCCCGCCAACGGGGCTTTGGAGGTCCATAGCATCCAACATCCGGCGCGTCTCCTGGTACAGAGTGTCTCGGAGGGATTGAAAGTGGGCCGACAAGGAAGCGGCTACCGTCCACATAGCATACTGTAGGCATATCTGAGCTTCACTCTTCTTGGGTTGTCTCGCCCACACGTGATAGCGCCAGCGCTGTAAGATAGGAGAAAAGGGGTGCACACGATCAAAGTACAATTGATCTCTGTAAGGGTTAGTATACGCCTTGGCAATGTGTCCAGCTTCTGATGTGATGCCTTACAGATCTGCGCGCATCAGATCGGAGACTAGTCCGCTTGGCCGTGTTTGAGGATCGGGGGACCGTGGTGACCCACCTCCTTGCTGGTCGTCGGAACATATTGCGGGAATTTGTTCAGGCAGTGTAGCTATCTCACGGAGGGGATCTTCTTCAGAGTCGCACTCGACTCCTGCGCCGTCAAACAACCCTGCCATTTGCTGATTGATTCCCGGATGCTGGTCGGCCAGGCAGCGTTCAAGGGCAGCTGGCCAATATGAGCACCGAGCTTCGTCGATATCAAACAAGACTTACCGATCCGTGTTCTCAATGTCCGCAGCTGACCCTTTCGCGGTCCCCTTGGAAGTCTCGTGGTGCTTATCTTACACTCGATACCAGTCTCGAAGCACACTTGGCATTGTGGACGTCGACGGTCACAGCGGACCTTACGGCGACGGCATTCCTCACAAGCAGAACCGGGCCGCTGGCGGGAAATACTCTGCGAGGCCACCATTTTATATTCGGCAGGTATCAAGGATTATGCGCCCTTGAAGCTATGTCGTTGGTGCTATGGGCCAACCTTTGCTCAACAATAGGTAAGTACTCCCCACAGTGATTTGCCGTACCGACAGGGGACTTTAAAATATGGAGATGAAGTGTAAGCTGCCTGGTGCACGGCGTTCCTGTGCGTACAATGGCTTGGGATAGATGCACGACTCAGCTTATCGCGCGAGAATATAAAAACTTATGGTCCGCCTATTAACAAATGCAAGAGCCAGGCTCCATCGTCTGTCTGGTCTGACATCTAATAAAACCATCGGCAATACAGCTCTCTGTTTTCATCTCACTCTGTTTCGCACATGGATCTTGATCCAACCCAACATATATCTGGATCGCAATTTTCAACAACGCTTGGTCTCATCTCAGCCGACATCGCAAACCGACACCGCAGCTATGTTGCCAAATCATATCCTAATTGGTGCATAACGGTGATACTACATCCCTAGTAGGTTGGAAAATAGACTAATTAAACTGGGCGCTGAATGGCTCAGACTATCTCGTGACGGGCCCCTGCTGGCTAACACAAAATTTGCGTCTTGGCCTTGACAGGGGACGGCATCGTTCAAGCCACTATAGGAGCCCATGCGCTTATCTTCCGGCAGAGGACGCTGGTTAAGTGAGCCTTTAGCCCCTGTAAATGAACAGCCACTCTTCGAGTGCCCCATGTGTGATTCGCAGAGACCGTTCATGGGTGTCATACGACGCGACTAGAAACGTTGAAAGCCAACACAAATGCTAATAATGGACTAAATATAGCTCATCAGCATTAATCCATTAGCCACTTATCCATACTAGAAGCTTTACAAGATTTTCCAGCTCTTTGAGGGTTGAACATCCAATCTATAGCTCGTCAAGATGGCATGAACGTACGGCAAAACTCAGCAGGTGAGCGCAATTCTGTACTCTGCAGTTACAAGTGTGAGAACCGTGTGCATATGATTACGCTGCAAGGCTGTTCTGAAGGCTACACTATTCGTGTTATCAGCACTGGTCCTACGGGCTCGTGTCTGACTTCACTAAAGCTCAAGCACAGGGGCAAGTGGACGCCATTCGTGACGATTCACGTTGTTCGCAGAAAAGCGTCTGTTGTGCATTCTGCCAACCACAAGTCTAGAATGAGTACCTTCGACGTTGAGGAACACTCTCAGCCGCTCTGTTGCACATCACGGTAGAGCAATCTCTCTGAACGTCAGGTGATACATTTCCACTATAGTAAAGTTCGAATATTCTCGGTTGAACAAGTTTAGGTCGCCGGCATATGGGTAGGCCTTTGTGCCTTTTCTTGGGTCGAGGTGGTTGCAATTGAGTAGCAGGCTCTGCTTGCCACTATAGCCCTCTGGTGTCCTTCCAGGCCAATTGGTGATCGGTCGTGCTTCTGGAGTTAACAAGCAAGTGCTTTCGGTAACTGTGCATGAATATCTCAGTAACAAGTGCGTGGCTGTCTGTCATGCTGCTTGATCCTGCATGAGAGGACATCGAATGAACGTGTGTTACTCATTATCATCGGTTGGCTGTGGGGACACAAATTAGGAAAGACATTCCAGGTTAGGACGGGATATGCGTACGACTTGGCAATCTCTTCAAGATCTAGACTCCACAGGCCTCTTCCGCAAACACGCCCCTCATGGCTGGACAGGACAAACGTCTGTTCAAGCGTTCATGTGAAAGACAAGGTTGTCTCACTTCGAGGGATCCTGGAGTAGTGGTTAATTGCATTCTTCTCGATTTGTCCCTTGATTCGGCAAGCGAATGCCAAGTTTCATCTGCGGCTGGCGATCAAACAAGCCACGAGCGACTATCAACAGTCATTGCATAGCGTCATTGTACCAGACTGCATTAAATGGGCGCTTTGTTCCTTGCATTGTGGCTGCAGGCTGAATGTTGAATTCAAATTTCGTGGAGACGAGTATAGCGCGCGAAATACGGCCCGCCTTGCCCCAGGGTTTGCAAATTGCCACGAGCTTGTGCTATTGACTGAGCAGTTGAGCCAAGACGTATAAGACCTCATATATATAGGGATACCCTGCATTTGATAGGTTTCATTCTAAGCAACTTTCATGCTCGTCCTAACAGTGAATTAAGCACTACACTGATAATTCATCAGTTGAACCGGAGTTTCGGCGACTCGGGCTTTCTCGAATGATAAAAGGCGTCTGTAGAACAGACAAATAGATGAGGATCGCCCTGATCCACTAATATACTTTGTAATCTTACAAAAATACACAACGTTCCAGTTACGCCGGCGCTGGATTTTTCCGGGAGTCGTGGTACTTTTCATTTAGTCCGTCGGTCGTCTCCTGAGTTCACCTTCTACCAGGTTTGATAGCCTAAACAATCTCCGCGTCTGCTCTCAATCACATTGCAAGCCGAGGTCACCAAAATGACTATCTTCGAACATGTGCAGGACGTTATCGGCCAACTTCCAGTTCTCAAAAGTTACAGCCATATGCTGATATGTTTCCCTGTTGAGGATGGTAAGCACGAAGCTGCCATCCAGAATATCGAGCGCGCTGTTCGCCTCGTGATGAAGACATTTCCGTATCTCTCTGGAAAGGTTCTCAATGAGGGTATTTGTGCTGGAAGTTCCGGGACGTTCAAGGTCGAGAGCTGCGAGGAATGGGAAAGTGCGGACTATGTCTTCGTACGCGTCCAGGATCGCACCGCCGAATGTGCTTCGTATGATGAGCTGTGTGCCGCCCATGGGCCATCTTCCATGTTACCAGGGCATCTGTTGAGTTCACGAGTGGCGTTTCCGGAAACGTACCAGGACAAAGAAGAAAGCCCGGCTCCTGTCCTAGACTTTCAGGCAAACATCGTCCGCGGCGGATTGTTGCTGGATTTGGCCGCCCAGCACAATATCATTGACGGGACGGGGCTTTTCCAAATCATGAACTTGTTGGCCACCGCTTTGCGTGGAGATCAGTTCCCTCTCTTCCAACTCCACGAAGGAAACCGCGACCGTCGCTCTTTGATTCGATTGCTCGGCCCAGATGAGCCCCTGCTGGACCATAGCGAGCTCAAACCTCCTGTCATTATGAAGGCGCCTCCCCCGTCGGATGTACTGGCTCCGTACAAATGGCGATATTATCGGTTCCCGGTGGACTCAGTGAACAAGATCAGAGATCTGGCAAATAGTAAGCCAGAAGATTTCGACCCCTGTACAGAGTCCCTGTCTCTAAACGATGCCATCACTGCGTTCTGTTGGCAACGGATCACGACCATCCGTCTAAAGAAGCTCAAAACGCCCACCGCGTTCTCAAAGCTCAGCCGAGCTGTCGACTTTCGTCGTATTATGAGACTTACTCCGGCCTACTTAGGCCATATGGTCCGCGTCTGCAATACGCGGCTCACTTTCGAAGACATCGTCGAAAGCTCCCTCTCGCGACTTGCGTCGATCCTCCGCAAAGACATACAGGAAATCAGCAACGAATATGCCCTCCGTAGCTACGTCACGTTCCTCGCGAATGAGCCGGATAAATCGGATATTGCTTATGGCGGGTGCTTCAACCCGCAGACGGACTTCTCCTGTTCGTCTATTGCGCATGTTAAGGCTCCTGACTTCGGGCCGCTAGGGAAGCCTGGACTTATGAGGAGACCGACATTCCAACCTTTGCCTTGCTCGTCGTACATTGCTCCGATGTTACATGGAGAGGGTATGGAGGGCCTGTTTTGTTTGCACGAGAGTGACATTGAGGCTCTGGCGGAGGATGAAATGTGGAAGAAATTCGTTGAGTATATTGGGTAGGCTTCGGTTATGCGGTCATTGCGATGCCTCATGATAATTATTTCTATTTCTACTGCATTTGACTGGGTTTAGTTTATCACAGTATGCACTTCATGTTGGATACAAGACGTCATTCCATGCTGTTTGTTTGTATTCTTGGCATTCCTTACGTCAATCCATGAACCCTAATTTCATTCGATGTTCCGTGGAGTTCCTCTGCTGGCCCCGTTAATACATTCGTTATAGGAATAATTAGCTCTTTCTCAAGCCATTGCTTTGTAGAGAAGACTGTCTTTACCAAGCCTACCACAGCGTATCGTCCTGCAGGCTCACGACACGCCCAAAGACAGAACCAATCAGCTACCATCACTTTGCGATATCCTATTGCGGATCAAGAAGTCAAGTTTGACACCTGGAACTGCCTAACAGGATAAATAAGAATATAGACAAACTAAAGTGAGATGTTCAGCCCAACGCTATTATTGAGCCTAGTGGCAACGTTCCTCCTTACGACTGCCGCCGTAGGTGAACAGGATCCGACGGAGGGAATCGTCAATCTTGTCCGAAGGAGACTACCAGATCATGTCGACAAATTCTTGTTCTCCTTGAACGGTTCATCACTGAACTTTACCACCGGACGCCACCACCAAGATGCGTACACTGTGTCGACACAAGCCAATGGCTCAATTCATGTGGAAGGGAATTCTCGAAGCGCGCTTGCCGCAGGGTATCTCCAACTGAATCCCACAAATCTTATCATGCAGCGTCCTGCTAACGAACTGACAGTCTACATCGATACCTTAGTGAGATCACGCATGTGGATATCTATTGGTTTGTTGGTAGTCGACTACATGCTGTGCCGGCATCTCTTCCCAAACTCGATGTGCCGCTGACAGGCGAAAGTATTGTCACATGGCGGTACCATCTCAATCCAGGTAAACATCTCTTTGGCCAGGGCCCTGTCCGACTTTGATTGAACTTGATAGCACGACTTATTACTCATACACGCTCGGTGCAGTGACTTTCTCATACACGACTGCCTTCTGGACGTGGGAAGATTGGGAACTAGAACTCGATTGGGCCGCCCTGAGAGGCGTAAATCTAATCCTCGCCTGGGTCGGCTACGAGAAGGTTCTTCTCGACTCGCTTCGAGACCTCGGAATGGCTGACGAGGAGATACTACCATTCTTCAGCGGCCCTGCCTTCCAAGCATGGGATCGACTGGGGAACATCCAAGGCTCCTGGGGCGGCCACAACGTCAGCATATCATGGCTCGAGGCGCAATTCGAGCTACAGAAGAAAATCGTCAACCAAATCGTTGAACTAGGCATGACACCCATACTTCCCGCTTTTCCTGGGTTTGTACCACCCGCTATAAAGCGGGTTCGACCGCATGCGACCGTGGTGAATGGGTCGCAGTGGTCAGGATTTGCGACGAAGTTTACCGAAGTGTCCTTCTTGAGTCCGCTTGATGACACCTTTGCCGAGTTACAGAAGAATGTGATCTTGAGGCAAATGCGTGCCTTTGGAAATGTCACACATGTTTATGCGCTCGATCAGTTTAATGAGATTAATCCTGCGTCTGGGGAGCTAGGGTACCTTCGCAACTTGTCACTACATACCTGGCGGAGTTTGAAAGCCGTCAATCCGGCTGCGGTATGGATGATGCAGGGGTGGTTGTTCTATGATAAGAAGGACTTTTGGAATTCCAGCCGAATCTCAGCCTACTTGAGCGGGGTGGAGAGGGATGATGATATGCTCATCCTAGACCTATACTCGGAGTCAAGGCCGCAGTGGCAACGGACAAAGTCCTATTTCGGGAAGCCGTGGATCTGGTGTCAATTACACGACTTTGGTGGAAATATCGGCTTGTACGGGCAAGTTATGAACATCACGGCGGATCCTATCCACGCGTTAAATCAATCCCAGTCGCTTGTGGGATTCGGGCTCACCATGGAAGGCCAGGAAGGGAATGAAGTTGTGTATGATTTACTGTTAGACCAGGCTTGGTCGGCGAAACCGATTGATACACGAGTATATTTTCGAAACTGGGTCAGCAGCCGGTATGCCGGAAACTTTTCAGTGCCAAAGGAGTTGTATACAGCGTGGGACCTGATGCGGACGACGGTCTATAATAATACTAATCTCACGACATACTCAGTGACGAAGTCCATCTTTGTGCTTTCACCGGATATCGACGGCTTGGTTGGCCGTGTTGGTCATTATCCTACTCCTACATCTATTAATTATGATCCAACTGTCTTAAATGAAGTATGGTCTTTATTTATGAATGCGACGAAAAACAATCCATCACTCTGGCAAAACCCGGCATATGAATATGATATGGTCGATATCACGCGCCAGTTAATGGGAAATGCTTTCGTCAAGTTCTATTCAAATCTTATAAGTTCATGGAAGTCAGGAACAGAAAACAGCGTGACGGACGACATCGCCTCGCAGAGCCAAAGGCTTCTCGACCTTCTATCGGCTATTGACAAAGTCTTGTCTTGCAATGAGAACTTCTCCCTTGCAAAGTGGATCTCAAGCGCCAGACATTGGGGAAACACCACGGCAGAAAAGGATTTCTTCGAGTACAATGCCCGGAATCAGATTACTCTATGGGGTCCTACCGGAGAGATCAGCGATTATGCGTCCAAGGCCTGGTCAGGTCTTATCTCCTCTTACTATCTGCCTCGATGGTCTATCTTCGTGGCCTATCTTGCTGAGAGGGACCAGACTAGCTATAACCGTACGGAACTACAGGAAAGGTTAAGGGTGTTTGAGTTGTCATGGCAAGGGCAGAGTGGGGAGCCAGGTATATCTTCGCCAAATTCCTCGTGTAGAGGACTTGAACTAGTCCTCAGGAATGTGTCGCAAAGTTGGTCGTCAATATTTGGAGATCATGTTCGACAATGAAGAAACACATTCAAGAATCACTCTATCATCGGGAGTCACCGTCCTCCACGTCGTCTACCAGGTGCCCGCATACACGTTTTCCGAACATCGAGCAAGTCGCATGCCTCTATCATACATTAGGATACATAAGGTTCGTATACAAAGGATTGCAAGGAGCTACCACTGCAATGACAGGATGTATCATAATAAAATGAAGATACAATAGACCTCAAGCCAAAAGGTTGTGCCAAATTGCAAGACTTCATTCATCAGCTTGCGTAGAAGACGTTGAGTTCTATTCAGCATTATCGATGCCCTCTTTCGGTAGCAGCAGGGAGTGGCAACCACAGAGCGGTGGGTGGCTTGTACATCGAAAGGCGATGCTCCTTTCCACTAGAGCACTAGATGGGGCTTTCCACTCTTCCTCTTTGGTTGACTTGTAACATAATCGTTTGGGATTAGGAATTACCGCCACGAAAGTCTCATGGAGGGTCGCCTTCACCACCATGGTCTTGTTCCAGTCGGAGGGCCAAAAAGAACTGGAGTCGACGCACTGTCGTCCTACTATGTGTAACCACTTATTCGACTGCATATTCCTGCAGAGGTACTTCCGCTATTGCTGTACGCCGTTTCACAGGTTGCCCTTTGCCACCAACAAATTCGGAGAAAAGATGTTCGATGCACACCTTCTATGCTGGTTCCCATTGCGCATGGCCCTGGAGAAGATTATCGGGTGATCTACGCGGACGGGCGGGAGGACCGGAAGGTTAAACCAGCCCGATGGCCCGGTTATGTCCTATTGGCTGAAACATGCCCCTAGTTGCACGTGTGCATGGGGTCCTATATTGATATGAGTCATTTTCCTTTCGCTGTTCATACTGAGGCGGGGCGAAGATGTCGGTAACCGAGGACCCGTCTCTTCGGATGTCTGCGTGATTTATACTTAGGTGGCGATGTGAGGATATGGGTGGTAAATGCGGGACAAATGGCAAATTGTTTGATGAAGTAGGGTGCTCCTGGAGGATGCTGTGTGTGGCAGGGCAGCTCGTTCTGTTCTAGATTTTGGTTGAGGTTGGACAGATTGTTACCTTCTTCGAATGAGGTGAAACTTCCGGCAACATCGATCCATTCTTGCAAATGACCAGACGATGTAGCAATCAGTTTGAGATGTGGGTACACGACGTATGTCTGTATGGCCGACGCTCTATTGTTAGTCGCGTGATATAGGGTGGACAACGAAGGAGTTGACCATAATGCCGAGTTCAGATCAAAATGACTAAGGGAGGCCATTATTTCGAACCCTCTCATTAACCTGCAGTTCATCCCTCAAGGGTCCGAGCTAATGCATCTTCGATGGGTTCAATACGCCGTAGATTTACGCCGAGACAATCAAATGATGCCCTCAATAGCTAGGCCTTGTAGCGTAGCAGTCTGACGCCCAGATTCCATAGCTAGTCAGCGCATGGACTGTCCAGTTGCTTCAGCTAACCTGTCCAGAATGTAAAGCTCAATCCATACCAACATAGCACACTGAGTCCCTCTTCTCCTCCTAGAGACTAAGAATAGACGGCCCTTCAACTAAAAGAACAATCCATCAAGCAATATGCTCACCAGCATCCTATCGCGCCTGCGCCCATCATGGCTCCCTCCGTTCCAAACAAACCCAACCCCAACAACCAGCCAGGACCCCGAAGCACCACCCCTCGACATCGAAGATGAGCCCCTCGAAATAGCTATCATAGGCTGCGGCATCATCGGAGCAATCCTTTCCCTCGGTCTCCTGGCCAAAAATATCAAGGTAACAGTGTACGAGCAAGCCCGGAGTCCCCCTGAGACCGGCGCAGGAATCGCCTTCACGGCCAATGCCCGACGGTGCATGTCAATGATCGACCAACGTATCGTCGACTGTGTGGCCGCCGTGGCTACGACAAACGGGGACCCAAGTAATCCGAACAATAATATGCACTTTGTTGATGGATATAATCATGACCCGGATGGTCTGGATGATATGACCTGGAAGAAGCTCTATGCATTGGCGACAGGGCCGAAGGGGTTTGAGGGGTGTCATCGGGCGCATTTCCTGGAGGAGGTTATGAGGCTTTTTCCCGGGGGTGTCGTGAAGTTAGGGAAGAGGCTGGACCGGGTGGAGGATTATGGGGTGGGCAAGGTTTTGTTGAGGTTTTGCGATGGGAGTGTTGGGAGGGCGGATGCCGGTGAGTTTGCATCAATCTCAGGCCTTGAGCTTTGGTGTTGATATAGGTCCAGTTATCGGATGCGATGGGATCAAGTCTCGTGTGCGCGAGCTCATCCTGGGCGAAGGTAATCCCGCCTCCTATCCGCATTATACACACAAGGTGGCCTATCGAGGGCTAGTCCCCATGGAAGAAGCGACTGCTCGACTGGGCCACTACCGCGCGCACAACCAGCATATGTATGGCGGTCCGAACGCGCACGTCCTTCATTTTCCTGTTGCCAAGCAGACTCTAATGAACGTGGTGGCCTTCGTCACGGACCCCGATGACTGGCCTCTCGACCGCAGTATGTCGCAGCTGGCGACTAAAAATGAAGTGGCTGGCGCCTTTGCGGATTGGGGCCCGACAGTGAGAGCTATCATCGATCTGCTGCCTGTTGAGTTGGAGAAATGGGGTGTTTTCGATTCTCTGGACTACCCTGCGCCGACTTACTCGCGTGGGCGTGTGTGTATCGCTGGTGATGCAGCTCATGCGTCGTCGCCGCATCATGGAGCCGGCGCTGGGATTGGGATTGAGGATGCATTGGCGTTGACTGCTTTGTTGGACATGGTGCAATCACGTATTAAGACTCCAGGCGGACGCAAGACTGTGGCTCTCCAGGCCGCGTTTGCGGCGTTCAGTGCGGTGCGTCGTGAGCGATCTCAATGGCTGGTGAGAAGTAGTCGTGAAGCCTGTGAGATCTATGAGTGGAATGATCCGCACTGTGGCTCGGATATGGACAAGGGGTATGATGAGATCAAACGGCGGTCTCATAAGATCTGGCATTTTGATATCGGTAGTATGTTGAGACAATTGGAAGTAGAGTATAGAAGACATTTCGGAGCGTGATGAAACTCCAAGAATCGAGGAAATGGAATAGAAATTATACATGATTTTCGCTTCACCACTTCTTTTTTACATGGTCGCAGAATTCTTGCATTTTGTGGAAGCATCTCGTATGTACTACTGATCCAGTTATATATTTATATTTCATGCTACTATACCATCATAACGAGGGTAACAACTACAATGCAAAACGGAAGCAATTACCTGGTTTTTTTCTTCCTGGTATCTCTAGAGCTATCTATGCAACAGCAAGGCCTGAGTTTGGCTTTATAGAGGCGTAGCCGCGTAGGTGTAGTATTGGACAAAAATGAACTCACTGAGGCATGCCAAGAAGGAATTTGAGGAAATCAGGAGAGAAAGGAAAACAAGATACCCGGGGCCTTTGGCGTGGTGCCTTGGCGGTATGCAAAGTATGTTAACTTATGCCCAGGATTTTTCCTAGAACCGGACTCTGCGTGAGGTCGAAAGCCTGTCTGATATATTTCTCGTCTAATGAAAACGGTTGCGCCATCAGGTTAGGAATATATTTCCCCTCTAGCTCCTCTGCATCTATATTTCCCGCCAGAAGTCCTGCCCGGAGTAGACATTGTCGGAACATGTCCACTGTTGAGCGCAGATGACTGGAATGGAAAGGCACGTCGATGCCTTGCAGGGGAATCGTTGCTTGGCCGCGCTGCAGTTCAATTGGTAGAGGAAGGGTCTTGGCATGATGCAGGAGGTCGCGGATCACTTGGTGGAGCCCCGTCGTGGACGCGTCGATGGAGTCCATCATCTCTTGAACTTGCTTTGCTCCACTGTGGCACTGTGCGATATGGTCCATCAGTTTGCCGAGGACGTAAAGATTGGTTAACTGGGGATCGCCATGTTAGAGTCGAGCGAATGATTAGGGAAAATGATGGCAATTTACCGTGCCTGAACAGACATACTGCTCCCCATCCACGTTCAAATTCACGATCTCCAACAATTGCCGGCTCTCAGCAGCAATCGTGCGAACCACGGTGCTCAATGAAGCTTGATCAAAAACTGGGTTGGTCAGCTCTCCCTGTAGTCAGATACCACATTATGCACAAAGTACCTACATTTGCCCACACGTTCTGGATTCGCAGCCACCATACCATACGTGGCGCTCTCTCCACGATCTCGTTCCACCGACGCCTGCATCATCAACCCCCTGTAGAAAGCTAATTCTACGAGGGCAAGAGTTGGTATAAACTTTGACAGTGCAGAAAGTGCCCCGTATTCCCCCAAGGAATGTCCGGCATATACCGCCTCGCGTGATACATAGCCTTTGGCACGCATTTCTGCAAAAGCTGCCGCTTCGAACAGAAGAATCGTCGGTTGTGCAAATTGTGTCGAATACAAGAGCCCCCTAGGATCATGGAATGTGTAAGACGCCGATTCTGCTGTGAGCCCCGCCAGAACTGGCTCTTGCACCCGGTCACCATTAGGAAGCACTCTTTCCGCTGTGATGGAGAGGTAATTTCCGCGGATCTTCCGGCCATGTTTGCCCCCAAAGCGAATGGTGAGAGTCTTTGGGTTGTTCCTGGCGATGTCCAGGACAGACCAGCCTATTCATTTCGTAAGTGGAACCGTGCGGACAAGCAGAGTATGAAACATACCATAAGCGTTGTATATATGCGCATCAATCTCGTCCCACAACTCCTTGGCACTTGAGCTCCTATTGTATAACTCCATACCCATACCTCTACTTTGACTACCTTGACCAGTGAAGAGGTACGCTGTTGCAGGCTGTTCCACTTCGGCCTCCGCAGTCATCACCTTCTCTCCGTTCCCAGTTCGGCATGCTTCTACAACAAATCGCATTCTCCCTTCAACCATCCCCACATGCTCTAGTCGTACTGCCAACCTCTCTGAAGGCATTACCATTCCCAAAAACTCAGTGGAAAAACTTCTCAGGCGTGCCCGATCACTCTTCAAGACCAAGTGCTCAAGAACCGCAGTTACAATCGCTGATGTGCACATGCCATGGGACAACGTGCCCGGCAGTTGGGCAAAGTTAGCAAAGATGGTTGAGACATGAATAGGATTGAAATCTTGAGAAACTTCAGCATAGTCCTGGTTGCTGGCAGGCATTTGAATTTCAAATGACGATGGGCCCGACCAGCCAGGGCTCCCAAAGTTTATTCTGCCTCCTTGTGCAGTCCCTTTGCGTTCAAGGAATTCTGAAACCGGGTTTCCAAGACAGTCATCACATGCGAAATGAACATCTCCTATATGTTCGAATTTGTAGCCTGTCCGGCAATGTACCTGGCCAGTGACTTGAAGTTTTGTGCGCGCGTTTTCCTTATACGTAACGTGACTCTCGACATTGAAAACCACTGTCTTGCCTACCAGCGAAGGTAGAGCGGCGACTGGATGAAACCACATTCGCTCTTTTAGCACCATCTCCTCTGACCTCGATTGCACGTTTACCGCCCAATCGCATAACTTTGTTTTTCGAAAGGTGTTTTTGACAGTGCGAAAAGAACCTCGGAAAAGAAACGTTGACGTTACTGTCAACACATGCTCCCCAGAGCGAATAATCCGCGCTTCTATAACCACAACCTTGCCCGAATCCTCTATATAGGCAGCCTGAACCTGAGATTGGGAGCTGACTGTTTCACCCAACCTGAGCGGCCTGACGCCATGAGTGTATGCAGTCGTGTTAGATCGATGAACTAGACGAAGTAAATCACCTTCAACATCTATGAGAAGAAGGGGACGGCATATGACGTCCCAAGCGATAATAATGCCAACGCTAATAGGCAAAATTTCTGAATCTGATAACACGATCCGGTGGTCGGGAAACGCTGCACCGACGGTCAAGGCCAACCCCTCGAACCGCTCGCGGGCCAGCTTCATTGGATGCCCGTCAAATAGACTGTACAGACCAATATTGCTAACTATGGTCTTACCAAGCCAGATTGCACTATAGAATGACTTGATACGCTCGTTCCGGCCTTCCATGATTTCGCTCAGTCTGAAGGGAGCCCTGCTAGGATCAAATTCGTACAGTAGCTGCAAATTCTGTGCTTTATATGGAGGATGAAGTTCGACAATAACCTCCGCCCCATTCTGACAAGTGATCGTCATCGAAGATTTGACGTCCAGACTGTCTTGAGCCACCACAGATATCTCTAACCGAGCGGGATTGTACTGGATAGCGGATTCAGGGTATTTCTTGACATACTCGCGAAAAGGATTCTTTTGCCGCAGTCCGCCCTGCAAGACAAATTTATCTTCCAGAACTGCCCGTACCCAAGCGGGAATGTTTCGATCGGGACTGTAAGGAAATGTCAATGAACACACGCATGGATCATCACTGGCGTCCGAGAGTGTTGTGGAGCATGGAGTAGAGATTTCCTCCATAAAAGATTCCTTAGTACCGGGCGAGACTGTGGACCAGGAATCTGGTGTAACTAAGCCACTATCAATCCCGATAGTCAATTCCTCTGCACACATATCTCGTTGGAAGCGGTCGCTGAGAGAAAATAGCAGAGTATCCAGAATCTCCTTTGCCGATTCTCCTCGATCACATGAAAACTGCGCTGCCACAGGGCCCTGAAGAATGCATACTCGGTCTGGATCATGACCAATCACAGCGTCAATATCCTCCGATTGCCATAGCGAGTCCTTCTTGAAATAGTACTCAAAATCGTCGTTCAGGGTGGGTATGAAGTTGACAGGCTTCTGATTTTCCTTTTTGGTTTGCATGAGGAAGAACGAGACATCCTCCGGATTCAAGACTTCTGAAACTGCAGCGGGACACGCAGTGCTAAACACACGAACAAAGCGGGTTGGGTGAAGCTCAAGTGACTCTCGAGAAAGATGCTCTGAATTGTTCAACTCAACCGGCAAGCGTTCGAAGGTACGGGCGGCGAATGCGAATGTGAAATCCACATAAGTCGAGTCGATCCAACGCTTCTGATGACCAATATACATTAATTCCACCAGCCGATTTATTACCTCGGTGTAGGTCATTTCGTCCAAGTCAATTACAGCCCCTTGTGAGTTGCGGCCAAACCATGGCTTTGCAAAGTCGGCATTCAACCGATGAATTATCATAAGACGATGTTTGGTCAAATACGTGACACGGTCTTGCCGGGGGAGACTGAAAACAGTCTTATCCATTTCAGCCCACAGGCGCACGCCCCTGGTTGCTATTTTATGTATTGGCTCGCCCATTTCCGACTGCACTGTAATTATTCCCCCGGCAGGCCCGGTATATGTCTTTTCCCAGTCATTGTCGTCCAATCCGGGTGTCGACGTGATGACATCTTTGACGGCTTTGCTTGTATGAGCCTCATTCGCAACCATCATGCAAGTACCCAAAAGTACTCCATCAAATGGCATGGACGCATATCCCATCGGAACTGACCATAAGCCTGTAAGGTATGGATAGATGCTACCGCTGCTACCGAACCCACTGCCAGCCACCAAATAAATGTTCGATTGTTGCCGTATTAGTCCGTACATATTCAGCATGACAGCATGGAAGTCTTCACGAGAGTGATGCCCTCCTCCACGACCACCAGTCCATTGAAGGATAACTGGAAAGTCGGGGTGAGCCCTGGCGATACTAATCACATCCCGGATGGCCGCCATTGACCCAGGCTTGAAACCGATATGTCTCAAATTTAGCGTCTGTATGTACTCTGCGATGACTTCTAGCGAAGGGACACCGGCTCCAAAAGTCAAACCGTCGATTACGACACCATCATGCGATAAGCGACGTAAAAGTGGGATCTGCCATCTGATAGCACGAGGGTTGGCGTAAATCAAGTTAAAGGAGATGCCTTGTCCGGCGGGAATATTCTTGACTAGCTGATCGATGGCTGACGCCATGCGGTCGGCACTATGGTAACCTCCACCGGCCAGCTCGACGTGATAACCTGCATTCATGATGGCTGCAACAAAGTCCCAATGCATCGTAGTGGGTGTCATACCAGCAACCATAATTGGAGGGGCGCCCAAAAGCCGCGTGAGACGTGTTTCAATCTTAATCTTTGTTCCCGGGGCTAGTCGTGGTTGGAAGCGCTGGCCCCAAGTTTGGAGCCTAGTCGCGGAATCAAGTAACAAGGGAGAGAATAGATCCTTCATGGTTCCCATCTCGGGATCCCGGGAATCGAGATCAGACCCTTGAATTACGCGAATCCCCTGACCCTCTTTAACCTTCTTCACCAATGAACCAAGACCACCCCGGTCAAAAACAATAATGTGTGACACAGGAGGGCGGCGAGCACTGATGTTGGGTGAACAGGCCATTGCAGCAGGCCAGTCGCAGATGTCATGGGCAATAGCATCAAACGCCAAATGCAGGATATTCCCATCATAAGCACGGAGATCATGACCAGTCCTAGTGTCGAATACCGGGATGGCTAGTTGCTGGGGGAGGATCCGTCTTTCTGAAAATCGTTTTCTCAAGGATTCTACGGCAGGACGAAGATATGGCGTATGGAAAGGTGTGCTGATCGGCAGGAAGTTAAGCTGGAGAAATGGCCTTCTGCTGCCGAATGGGATTTGGCTCCGATTTATGGCAGAGGTACTAACCTCTTGAAGGTAGTTCCTAAGATGTAATAATGATGAATTTGGACCGGCAACAACGAATTGATCTTGAGCATTTGCCAACGCCAGATACAACTGCGAATCTTGGCTCAAGTGACGGTTCATGTGGGCCAGTATATCCTCAATTTGGCATCGTGTTGCCCCTCGAATACTGAGCATGTATAGATGGGTGTCGGGATCCACGTCATTTTCTTCGCTTCTCGTGGACCTTCTAGGGATTGTAATTTGGGGCGCGCAATTATGACACTCCCATCCCAACCAGAACAAGACATCCACTAATAAGCTGCTATTGTCGTAAAGCGACTCCCATGTGTCCGATATGGCAACAACAATTGATACCAAAAGACCCTGAGAATGCCCCGTGGTGGCAGAAAGCAGTGTCCGCAGCTTTCCGGGCGATATCCCTAGTATCCGGCAAGTAACGATGTATCGAGCGAGACTCAACAATCCGATCACGGGTACGCTAACAGGGGCACTGGCCACGAAAGCACTATTAGGTACCACAGCGGCGTCGGCCATCCAAGCCTCGATATCCAAGTATCGTCGCTGATAGTATGAGCGACACTTTGGCAAACGGGACAGCTCGGCAAGTCTAGACCCCATTCTTCGTAGAAAGCCCTGGAGTATCGACTGGTATGTGTTGTACAGTTCGGAAAGCTCCTTCACACATGTAGGACTCGCATCCCCCTGGCCTCCAAACAGTGCCATTACTTGAAACTGACTGGTCTCAACATTGTGGAAAAATCTACTTCTGGTGTAGACCACACCCTCAACACCATGCTCAACCCCGTTTTCTTGTTTAAGATCGACTGCATGATAGTATATACGCAACCACCGCTGTCGTTGCTCTGATCTCGACGTTACCTCCGCGATGAGAGAATGGATGTCTATTCTTCCAAGAAATTCATTGTCGAATGCCTCCAAGAGCGCCGCCCAAGCTGCCCCCGTTATCTCTTTCTGAAAGTGGAGGAATTCGATATAGGCTAGCGCCAATTCGACAGGGTGCTTGATATCGTCGGTGCAAGATAGTGAGATTGAGCGAAGAAACGCATCTCTCTGTAGGGCATGGAAGGAAGAGAAGGCACTTGGAACGGCGAGAGAAAGAATTATGTCCCTATGCTGAAATTCCACGTTGAAAGTGATACTGGAAGACGATAGGACGGTGTGGCGCATTAAGGGAGGCTCTATGACGGCAGTTGCTGTGGAGTCAGGTGACAGGGGAGCAGTCATCTCCTCCATCATCTTTACCCTTGTATCCATCTCCTTTCCACACGATCTGTCGGCGTAAATGTTCGATCGATGTATTATCGCCTATTGCCACAAGTATACCGCCCTTGCCCTACCGGAGCAACACAGGAAAAAAGCTCGTGCACGGCATAGAAAGATGAGACTAAGGCAACTATATCTGCGATACTGGAATGGATAAGCCCGCTACCAATTTGTCAATGGACCTGATTTTGGTGAGTTTATACCTACACGTTCGGCAGTGTGTTGAATAAATGGATCAATTGCAGTTTGAAGTCAGCCCATGAGGGTGCGGAGATTCCCCTGGCTGTGGAAGAATGTCGACCGTAGTAGAGAAGCTACAGTTGATATAACTTGCTCTCTCACTCGCCGCCGGAGTTTCACAGACGGAGTTTTTCTTTGTATCACCCACTTCGCACTATTGCCCGTATCTTTAAGAATATCCATGCTTTATCTGTGTATCAATCGCATTGGAGTAGGTATATCTACGAGTCAGGCCCAAAGATCAAAATTCACTGGAACACTTGAATCCTGCCCTGAAGCGATGCTCATTGTCGAGCTATGAGAGCCACTCGCGTGGGAAATTAGTTATACTCTGTTCTATCCTACATGGGAAGTCTGTGTTTATCCTGTGGAACTAGAGACTGCTGGTTTTGAGACTGGTCCTGTGTGTTGACCCTTTCGCTATGATCAAGCACTCGAATATGATCATGGATCCGATGTCAGCTGGGCACTATCAGAAGAAAGATAGAAATCAATTAGCATTTAAATTGCTTATAGAGCTGCTCTCGTGAGTTCTCCACCTGATCTAGTTTTCTGTTTATACTAAGTGGGCAGATATCAATTAGCATATCCTGTACGGTGGTAAGTCCAGTCAGCGTTTAGTGCTATCCCATGCTGATTTTCCTAGGATCGAAACTCAACATGAATTGATTACTGGCTGCCCTCCAATATGCCGCTTCGTTGAAATCGGTCCGCGTACTACACTTGCCACTATGGCCAGAAAATCCGCTACTAGATACTACAAGTCTTATGCGACTTCGCAATGGTCGCATCTACAGTTTCTCTCCTATCAGGACAACAAAGACGAAATCTTGTATAATTATTCAAACTCTAATCCATGGTCGGACAAGAAAGATAGGGCAGGACAGTTGACTTCTCACGATGTATCTTTGCTACCTTTGTCCCCTGGCCCTCAACGGGGACCACAACAATGTGTTTCGCCTAAAGCGCTTCTCTCAAAGTCTTCACCCAGTCTTGACGTGGCTCTATCAAGTAGCAATATTGTCCTTGCTATGACAGCTCAAAAACTACGACGACCGTTTGATAAAGTTTCCATGGGAAAGACTATCCGCGAATTATCTGGTGGTATGGCTATGCTCGTTCAACCGATGAATTGTGGCTAACTAACTAGGCAAATCCACACTACAAAATGAGCTAGTAGGAGACTTTGTCGCTGAATTTGGCAAGGTGCCAGAGGAAGCTGAAGATATGACCCTGGCTGCATTGGGAGAAGCGCTGCAAGGTGCTTTTGTTGGAAAGCCAGCCAAACAGATGACCACTCTAATTGCTAGGTTAATATCAAGAAAGATGCCCGCTGGATTTAACCAAAACTCCATGCAGGATTACATATGCTCTCGCTGGGGCTTTTCCAAGACTCACTGTCTTGTTCCCATCTGCCTTGCGACTACTATTGAGCCGCCCGCCCGTTTAGCAAATGCAGATGCTGCACAGGCGTATCTTGATGAGTTAGTCAGCCGGTACGCGCTGCTTCAAGGGATTTCTCTGGCCTCTGCCGATGGCCTATGTAGTGACCGGAGCGAAGCTATGCCGTCTCCTGGGGGCTTTTCGAATCAGGAGATCCTTTATAAAGAGCAGCACAGCTATCACCGTAAGCATTTTGATATACTTGCGAAGTATCTGCAGATAGACCTCGGAGCTTCAGAACAATCGCCGCTGGACACGACTTATCAAGAAACGTTAGAGAGATGGAACGCTGAATTTGATGACCAGTTTTGTCAAGGTATAGAGTCAATCTTTGATACCAGCCAGTCTCGAAACTACGACTCTTGGTGGAACTGGGCGAGAGAAGGACTTATACAATGGTTACACCAAATTGCTTTAGGCCAGGTAGAGGCGGCTCTGCCAACGAAAGGCAACCACCTAGGCAGGATGCTGAACCGGTGGGATGCGACGTGTAGTAACATTATCAAGGCAGTGATCAAACCGCCCCACCCTATTTTATGTCCAAACCAGACGATTTATCCTTGTTCGGATGTCTCACTTGTGCTAAAAGAGGTTCTTCGTTTAGGAAACCTTGCTCTGGCAAGTGATCCCATTTATATCTACTCATCGCCAGCCTTGGGCCCGCAAACCACAGTCAGCAGCTCAGGCCAACTGGAATATATGGAGACAGCCCGGAAAGCGTCTTCCTATCCGGACGTTGTACGCCAAGGACGTTTATGTGCCGATGACCTCAAAAAAAGAATTCCTTTTGTTCATCTTAAGTCTCGAAAAAATGAAAGTGGGTGGGAATATGACGTGGACGCTACCAGGATATTTCATTCAGTTCTAGGCGCCGGAACTACTACTGGCTTCAGCTATGCCAGCAAGACTGTTTTAGTAACAGGGGCTGGCCCTAACTCAATTGGAGCACAGGTCGTCCAGGGCCTTTTATGTGGTGGTGCTCAGGTGGTCGTCACCACAAGTCGGACTATCTCGGAAAGCGCGAGCTTTTATCAAAATATGTACCGTCAGTATGGCGCTAGAGGAGCGTCCTTGACAGTCCTTCCAATGAACCAGGCCAGCAAACGGGATTGTGAATACCTGATTGAGCATATATATGGTGTTAATTCCCCTATAGGCGGCGACCTAGACTATGTCATACCATTTGCTGCTGTTCCCCAAGCGGGTGAATTGGATACATTGGGAAGTCATCAGGAGCTAGCACTTAGGACTATGCTGGTCAATCTCCTACGGACCATCGGATTTATTCGGCAGCAAAAGGAGAAACGACGCATTAGCTGTCGGCCAACAACGATTGTTCTGCCCATGTCATGTAACGAAGGCTCCTTTGGCGGTGATGGCTTGTATGCGGAGTCAAAAGCTGGTTTAAAGACGCTCTTGAACCGCTTCCACTCTGAAGGCTGGTCAAGTTGCATCACCATTTGTGCAGCAGTTATAGGTTGGACAAGAGGCACCGGTCTTATGCGCTCGTCCAACTTTATAGCAGAAGAAGTGGAGAAGCTGGGTGTTGTTACGTTCACACAGGCTGAAATGGCATTTAACATCCTCGCGTTGATGACACCTGGGATCACTATACTTGCTGAGCAAGCTCCAGTTTACGCAGATCTCACCGGAGGGTTGGGTAAAATGTGGGACATCAAAGACCATATTTCAGCAAGTCGTAAGCATCTTGCCGAAGAGGCGCAGATACGGAAGGCCCTGCATGAAGAAGACGCCCATCATTATTCAGTGCTCTTCGGACCACAAAGGCAGCAGCCAGGGAACTCTGGGCTTAATATTAGCAGGCGGCGCGCCTTTCTCAAACTTCCATTTCCATCTCTACAACTCTATGATGACTTGGCAGTGAGCTTGCCCAATCTTAAAGGGATGATAGATCTCTCGCGTACGGTCGTCGTGGTAGGGTTTTCAGAGCTCGGGCCCTGGGGAAATTCGCGCACTCGGTGGGAGATGGAGCACCAAGGCCGGTTTAGCTTGGAAGGCTACATAGAAATGGCGTGGATAATGGGATTAATAAATCACATTGATGGCGATTGGAAAAGCCGATCTTATGTTGGCTGGGTCGATGCAGAGACACAGGAGCCAATACATGATCATGATATTCCCCAAAGATATCATGAATACATAATGTCAAACGCGGGTCTACGTCTTATTGAGCCGGGGGGCATTGACACATACATTCCCTCTCAGAAAGAATTCTTGCAGGAAGTGGCTGTCGAAGAGGACCTTCCACCTTTTGAATGTTCAAAAACATCCGCAGAAGCCTTCAAACTACGGCACGGCAGTAATATCACGCTGCAGCCTATTACAGGGTCTGATAACTATCGTGTGTTTCTCAAGAAGGGTGCAGTTCTACTGATTCCCAAAACAGTCCCCTTTCATCAGTCTGTAGCAGGGGTAGTCCCTACTGGCTGGGACGCTTTACGTTATGGCATTCCAGAAGAGATCGTACAACAGGTCGATAAAACCACACTATATGCGCTTTGCTGTGTCTCAGAAGCTTTTCTATCAGCTGGTATTAGCGATCCGTACGATATCTACCAACACATTCATGTTTCTGAGCTAGCAAACTGTTTGGGTACAGGAGGCGGGCCCATGAAGATCATTCAGAATATGTATCGGGATCGATTTCTCGATCGTCAAGTACGGGGCGATATCATACTGGAACACTTCCTGAACACAATGGGTGCATGGGTCAACATGTTGCTCTTGTCTGCTTCCGGGCCCCTTAAGACTCCCGTCGGTGCATGTGCTACCGCCTTAGAATCCTTAGATATTGGCTGCGATGCTATTATTTCCGGCAAGTGCAAGGTAGCTATAGTTGGTGGCTGCGATGACTATCGTGAGGAGCTATCGTTTGAGTTTGATAGTATAAAAGCTACAGCCAACTGTGCAGAGGAGCTGTCCAGAGGAAGGCTTCCCAGTGAGATATCTCGTCCAACAGCCAGCTCACGCAGTGGCTTCGCTGAGTCCGCCGGCTGTGGTGTACAACTCCTAATGAATGCTGAACTGGCCCTCAAGTTGGGCCTGCCAATACACGGAGTTGTCGCGTATTGCCAGATGGCTAGTGACCAGGTCGGCCGCTCCATCCCTGCTCCTGGCAAAGGCATTCTAACTGCCGCGCGTGAGAGTCATGAGGCTAAAGCATCTCCAATGTTAGATTTTGGTTTCCGTCGCGCAGGCTTCGATGAGGAGGTGGCGGATGTCGAGCAAAGGTTTGTCACTGGACAGCTCAGGAAAGCACAGGGTTCAGGCGCCCCCGAGGAAGCAGCAGAACAATTCAGGAGACTGAGAGTTCGCGATGCCCAATATCGCTGGGCTCACGACATTCGTCTCCAAGACCCATCAATATCTCCACTCAGGGCAGCCTTAGCCACTTGGGGCCTAGGAATTGACGATATTGGTGTCGTCTCGATGCATGGAACATCAACCAAGGCAAATGACATCAATGAAGGCGAAGTGATCAACGTCCAAATGGAACATCTAGGCCGCCGCAAGGGAAATCCATTGCTCTGTGTATGCCAGAAGTCATTAACCGGGCATCCAAAGGCCGCAGCGGGGGCGTGGCAGCTGAATGGTTGCATGCAGATATTGCAGGGTGGAATAGTTCCAGGAAACCGAAACGCAGACAATATCGACCAGCAATTGCGACAATTTGAACATTTGGTATACCCTATGGAGTCAATCCAGACAACAGGGGTCAAGGCAACCATGATAACGTCTTTCGGTTTCGGGCAGAAAGGTGCCATCGCCATTATTGTAGCACCTAGCTACCTTTTTGCGTCCATCTCTGCGTCAATGTATGAAGAATATAGTATGCGAGTGACGCAACGACAGCGAGCTGCTAATCCAATGTTTGTCTCTCGCATACTAAACAACCGTATCGTGCAAGTAAAGAGCCTCCCACCATGGGAGAACCGAGATGCGACGGAAAAGGTCTTTCTGGACCCAGGCAGCTGTCTGCAAGATGACCAGACGCAGCCTACTAACGAAGCACATGAAAGCCCGTCGAATTCAATCAACGTTATCGCTGATCACAACTCGCGGAAATTCGAGAACCAGGATGAAGGAAACACCTTATCTTGCCTTGTTGAACGCATGCTCGTAGAAGCAGTCGGGAGATCCAAAGGCACTTTGCCCCCAAGCGTGGGAGTTGATGTAGAAGAAATCGCCAGCATCAATATCGAGAACGAGGCGTTCTTAAAGCGCAACTTCACTATGGCTGAACGTGAGTACTGTTCGAAGGCTACCAATCCTCAGGCCTCGTTTGCAGGTCGATGGAGTATCAAGGAGGCAGTGTTCAAAAGTCTTCAGACCTCCTCCTCGGGACCCGGGGCTGCAATGCACGAGATTGAGGTCCTCAACCACTGTGGCGTCCCAAAAATTACCGTAAGTTTTGTTATCCCTTCGATGTGGACGTACTGACGCTGTTTAGCTTCATGGGCAAGTCAAGGATATCGCCCAAGCCAAAGGTATAGATAGTGTTGAGATAAGTATCAGCTATTCAACCAATGCAGCTGTTGCAATTGCTGTGGCCGTAAAAGGTTGATAGAAACGCATTCAATTTATCTTCTGGTGGATGATACAAGAAGATTAGTTAGAACTTGATTTCGTAACAACATTGATAGTTTTTATGCCAAACATCTATACTATGACCACATTTGAAAAGTAGCTTCATGACATTTATTAATCATAATACTCTACGTACTCAACAGTTACAGTCCAATATTAAGAATATTTATTTACTCAAGCCATCTATGTACCTCTAACCACAACACCAAGAATATACATAAATACATTAAGATCTCGAGTCTTCATTTCGTAACGAACACTCGCAATGCCAATACATATGGCAATCAACAAAAATGCTGCTCATGAAGAGATGCTAGACAGGTATCTCGGCAAAGGAGATCGCCGGCAGAGTAACACAGCATTGATTTCTAATCCGAACCAACAAGCAAGCCTTAAGGCCTATTAAGCTGCTCACGGCGATAGAACAAAAGGAAGCCCCAACTATAACCCGCATTAGTGATCAGTTTCATGAAAGGGAGGGGGAATGCAAAGGCTTACCTAGCCAGAAGCTGGAAGAAGAGCGCAATCCAGAACCACGCATTTCCAACTGTATCTAGAGAGGTGCCCACGTTCGGAGAGATACTCGCGGGACCGAGCTTGTTCGGCGCGAATCCACGTGCGCAGATCGTGGCGATGGATCCGAGAGCCTGTGCGGCCAACAGGACGAAGCAAACGTGCACTCGTGTCAGGGTTTGCAGGAGGATCATACCCAGACCGACTTGCTGGATTTCGTCGAGGACGCCGAGCCAGAGCCAGACGCATCTCGACACCAGGGCACCGGATGTTAGGCTTCCGGCCCACGGCAGGTAGTAGCCTATGTTGGAGGTTCCCCACCATGTCTGGGCCCAGCGCGGTGCGCCGAGACTCAGGCCGAAGACAGGGAGAATCCAGCTGTGCTCCTTGGACAAAGCGCGGAAGATGATGAGGATAAATACCCAGAGTATGACGAAGAAGAAGATGACCAAGATTACGATCTCCCATGTTTTGGCGTGTTGGGAGGTCCAGAGGAATGACCAGTTGCGACCGAATGCTGCGGAGAGGAACCAGTTCTGGACAATTACCATGAAGAAGAACCAGAGGACGATGCGGCGGCGGAAGAGGGACGTGTAGAAGAAGAGAATCCTACCAGGGGATTGGCGGTAGTATTTTGGTAGGCCGAGCGCGAGGAGCACGCCGACTATGAAACATAGAGCGGCAATGGGCATCACCACAGCTGTGAGTCTCCATGAGTTCAGGGCAGCGGTGGACACGCCTCCCACTTCTGCCTCAGTCACCTTGGAACTCCAGTACCATAAGGCGACGGTGTAGAGCTGCTGAATTCCTTGAATGAGACTTGCGCGGAACATCCAATCCTTTATAGGTACGGCACCCTGGTCACCAAAGTTGAGGGCGAAGAAGAGCGACCCGCTAGAGGACGCGGCAGAGTAGACACCCGCAGCAACATTCTGGGCCCAGGCTCGACCAAGGGGTGTGAGAGCGAATGGAGAGACACCAATGATAATGAAGGCCATGCAGTATATGAACCAGGGGAGTGTGAGAACGATTACTGATGGGAAGCGATAGAAGAGGAGCCACCAACAGATAGAGGAAATACAGTAGATCGCTGCGATAATGTACAACTTGGTTGCCGTTTCTCCTACCTGGCCGACCAACAGGGTCATTTGAGCGGAGTTGGTCGCGATGATTTGCCCAAGACCCAGGAATAGAGCGTAAACAGGCCATTTCCCGAGGCGCCGTCTCATGAATCTCTGAATAGCGATAGGCCGCTTGTATCCCAGACGAGAGAGCCATTGGTCGATCTCATCTGGATCATTCGAGTCCGAACCTCCATTGGCACTGGGGTACGAGGCACGGTTATCTTGAGTGTCCGAGTTCGTGTCAGATCCTGCACGACCATCGGGCTGCTTCTTTAGCTGTGCATCGTTGTACATGTCGTAGAATTTACGCTCGCTCTTCATTAGGTAGGTCTCGATACAGCAGTCTGTCATTGAATTCTTCTTGTTCAAATCGTTGAGGATCTCTTCGAAGCGTCGCGTGAAGTGGCGTGTGCTGTCTGTAAAGGTTGGGTCAACCTTTTGCAGCTCGAAAACTGGCTGGTTGTGGTCCGCCACGACTGAAGGCAAGGAAAGCATGGAGACATTGCGGGAATGAGAGAAAGGAGTATTTCCACCGGAACCCAATACGAACTGGAATGGGTATTGAGGCAACCCCGGGGTTCCCGGCATGGGAGAAGAAGCCCGCGACATGTTGTTTGGTGAGCCTGGCACTGACATGTAAGAAGATCCTTGAGGACCAGCGAGCGAGTGAGTACTGTTGTTCGTGTGGGCCATTCCGATATCCTGGGATCCCAGAGTGTTGTTCACTGCAGCCATAGCCTCCTCAGGGGAAATATAGTTCACCTGCGGCGTAGCTGTGCCGTCTTCATCGGCATCCGTGTTCTCACCATCCAACTCCTCGCCGAGAATCTGGCTCTCCCGCGGTGGGCTCTTGCCGAGGCGTTTCCTGCCCTGACCAGGTCCAGATCGCCGACCGAGAGAGAGTTTGCGGCCTAGACTACTGTTCCTGCTGCCATCAGCTCCCTCTAACTGCAATTCAGTAAATCGAGACTGGCCGGGCGTTAAAAGCTTTCCTGGCGGCGTATCCAGCCCCTCTGTTATCGGCTGGGTAGGTCCTGGGAGGCCCAGCGTAGACATCCGCATGCTTTGCGTCTCCCAGTAGTTCTGCGACTCTGGCATCGGGCCTGTCACGGTGTTCTTGTTCTTTGTGTGATGGATTTGGATCGCCGTTCGCTGCAAGGCTTCGAGCTTCTGGATCCATTCAAGAACAGGGAAATGCTGCCTGACTGAATTGGCGCGCATCTCCTCCCGAGTTTCCTGTGATGAGTCCAAAGCTTGTTTGATAGCAGTCTTCAACTGGTGCAAAAGATGGCGGGTTGCGTCGGATTCCACGGTGTACCACCAACCAGGCATTTGGCCTAAGCCTCCGATGCGAGAGCCGATTCCCAGTGCACCTTTACGACCGAATTCCACAGCAACCAACCCAAATGGCTCGTCTCTGGAGGGGATCAGGGCGAAGTCAGCACCGGAAAAAACATATGGAGGCAGAACGGTGAACTCTGGCTTAGAGAACACGCGACCAGGGAACATTTCCATGATGCGCTCCAGCTTTGTTGCGGCCAGCCGACCGTAGAGATCGACAATAGGTCCAACGCAGATCAATTGTACGTGGGGTCTGGCGGATAGTACTGCTGGCATGACATCTGCAATCAAATCCACACCCTTCTGCTTCGACCATCGTCCAACGAACACTAGTAAGTCAGCGTTGCGGTCTTCATTCAGACCAGCCCACTTCTGCGCCTGTAGCTTGTCATTGATTCGCTCTTCGTAGGACTGGATTGGGACTTCGGTATCTGGGTTATTTGCTAAATCTCCTGTGTCGGAGGGATCTGGGTTTGGAAGACTGCCAATCTTTTCAAGACTCCAGAAAATCGGGTATCTGGCCCATGAGCGCTTTCCATACTTCTTGGAAACACCTACCGCGCCAAAGCCGCGTTGGTAAAATCGCACATAGCTAGCACCGGTGTGAAGAAGGTTGAAAACGTTTCCAAATTGACTGTACTTGGTTGCAGTTTCGACGGGGAGGTTGAAGACCGAACAAACTTCCTTTTTCTCCTGGGGATTTCTCAGGGGCCAAAGGCCCTGAAATTCAGCATTATGCAAGGACAAGCACACTGGGATGGTACGCGTAGGTAACAAATACAGCGGTGCTAAACAACCATGGAAATCGTTGATATGATAAAGGTCGATGGAAGGGAATCGCTTGATAGTTTCTGCGATACACTGATTCCATGCCGAATAGTAAATTGCACTGTCAAGATCGTCCATGCGAGGAGGATACGGCTCTGCTTTGGTTTGTTGCCGGAAAACGGGAGCATCAAGCAGGACATAGGTGATGTTCTCAACTATATGGTACTGCACATTGATAAAGTAGGGCTTGTCTAGGATACTGACCACGAAAGGCTCAGATGGCGTGTCCTGAGGATATTCAATGTCACCAACACAAGGAACGACCCAGATAAGGTTTTGATGCTTCAGATTCTGGGACATAAGTTGTGCCATAACTCCTAGACCGCCGATCTTGACCTTGACCTTCCAGTCTTCGATGTTGTATTCCATAGTGGCGATCAACACTGTACGTCGTTGCTCCGGGGCTCCCGCGAGAGCAACGTCCATCGGTACATCCTTATCAGATATCGACTTATCCGAGTCGTCATCGCCGGAGAACTTTTCTCTGACCCTCCGCCAAAACAGAAGCGGTAACTTATCTTCTTTAGCCACGTCACCATCGGTATTGAGCTTAACGCGGTAGAATGTCCTGATGAAGATGAAGATACCAGCAAACCCCATGAGAATTGGGAGGACCCAGAGAAGAATGTATAGCACGAGCTGAGCCCATCCAGATCCGACTGGAAGCATCTCATATCTCAGATTGGCGTCATTGAGAGTGATGGTCCAGCCAAGGTGCGGGAATGGAGGCAACTTCGTGATATTGATCACGTTGGATGAAAGGTAAGATGGAGGAAGTTTCTGAACTACAGATGAGTTGTCGACATCGCCATAGACCTCTGTAACGTCGGGCCGCCCATCCTTTAACATGCCCCACACACTCATCTGTCCTATAGCTGGCCACTCGTAAACAAAATCGTACTTCCAACGGTGCTCCTTGGTATCATATCTCATCTTGTTATCCAGTCCCGCATCGTAACCATATTGATTGAACGGACCGTTCCAAAAAAGGTTCGGGAATCTTCGAGCAACGCCATTCTCCCAGCCATGATCACCTTCCTGGATGTAATCACTACTAGCGGTGAGCCTTGAAAAGTACTGTACGCGGATATGAGTTCCCTTCCACTTCTGGGCGTCCGTTCCGGTCCACTCTGGAAAGCTGACGAGAGTGTTATCACCGGTATACGTTGTC